TGGCAATGCTCCGTCGGCCATGTTTGAGCTGGGCGGCATGAGTCGGCAGGATGTAATGCCACCCTCGTAAGAAGAAAGTAGAACCAGCCAGTCATATGAGTCTGTCTGGGGTTGAAGTGTCTTAGGGATTCAAAGTACACGCCATCAACACCACGATGTTTCCAGAGATGGGCAGTATTTCAATTACTTTTGAGTATTTTGTCATTTGTATTTCACCAGCCTGAACTACAATTCAATGTATTTTCTAACAACATACTGTACCTGTAATCTGTATTTTCAAAATACAAAATACTTTTCTATAACATTTTATTTTTTATAGCGGTTCAGAATTTTCTAGGCACTATGGTGTGATAAGACTTTCTGCTAAATGACCTAAATGTAAATATAGAAATTAACACTTGCAAAGCATGCTGGGTATTATTCTAATTAGCTCCTACCCCAAAACAAGGAAAATAATAATACCCAGTGTACTTTGCAATTGTTCATTTTTACATTTACATTTTGCTTATTTAGCAGACACTTATCCAAATCAAATCAAATCAAATTGGATTTGTCACATACACGTGTTTAGCAGATGTTATTGCGGGTGTAGCGAAATGATTGTGCTTCTAGCTCTGACAGTGCAGTAATATCTAACAAGTAATATCTAACAATTTCACAACATATACCCTATACACACAAATCTAGTAAGGAATGGAATTTAAGAATATATACATATATGGACAAGCAATGGCAGAGCGGCATGGACTAAGATACAGTAGAATATTATAGAATAAAATACAGTATATACATATGAGATGAGTAGTGCAAGATATGTAAACATTACTCAAGTGACTAGTGTTCTATTTCTTAAAGTGGCCAGAGGAAAACCTGGTTCAGTCTGCTATCCAGAGCGACTTAGTCAGTGCATTCAACTAAGCTGCATTGACTGCAACCAAATGCTTCCTGCAGTTGTTGATCAGTTTCTCACATCGCTGTTGAGGAATTTTGGCCCACTCTTGCATGCAGAACTGCTTTAACTCAGCGACATTTGTAGGTTTTCAAGCATGAACTGCTCGTTTGAAGTCCTGCCACGACATCTCAATTGGGATTAGGTCTGGACTTTGACTAGGCCATTTCAGAACTTCAAATGTGTTGCTTTTTAGCCATTTTCATGTAGACTTAATTGTGTTCTTTGGATCATAGTCTTGCTGCATGACCCAGCTGCGCTTCAGCTTCAGCTCACAGACGGATGGCCTGACATTCTCCTGTAGAATTCTCTGATACAGAGCAGAATTCATGGTTCCTTCTATTAAGGCAAGTCATCCAGGTCCTGAGACAGCAAAGCATCCCCAAACCATGCTTGATCGTTGGTATGTGGTTCTTACTGTGGAATGCAGTGTTTGGTTTTCGACTTAAGTTTGCCAAAAAGCACCTGGAAGCACCTGAATGATCATCAAGACTCTTGGAATAATTTTTTATGGACAGATGATTCAAAAGTATAACTTTTTGGACGACATGGATCCCATTTTATGCCTGGGTTAAAAAAAGCTGACATTTCATATCCCTTTGAGCATGGTGAAGTTATTAATTACACTTTGGATGGTGTATCAATACACCCAGTCACTACAAAGATACAGGTGTCTTTCCTAACTCAGTTGCTGGAGAGGAAGGAAACCGCTCCAGGATTTCACCATGAGGCCAATGGTGACTTTAAAACAGTTACAGAGTTTAATGGCTGTGGTAGGAGAAAACTGAGGATGCATCAAAAACATTGTAGTTACTCCACAATACTAACCTAATTGACAGAGTGAAAATAAGGAAGCCTATACAGAAATCAAATATTACAAAACATGCATCCTGTTTGCAATGAGGCACTAAAGTAAAATTGCAAAGAATGTGGCAAAGAAATGAAATGTATGTCCAAAATACAAAGCGTTATGGTTGGGGAAAATCCAACACAACACATCACTGAGTACCACTCAATATTTTCAAGCATGATGGTGGCTGCATCATGTTATGGGTATGCTTGTCATCGGCAAAGACTATGGAGTTTTTTATGATAAAAAGAACCAGAATAGAGCTAAGCACAGGCAAAATCCTAGAGGAAAACCTGGTTCAGTCTGCAATCCAACAGACACTGTGCAAAGTTCTTAGAGACTTACCCAGAAAGACTCACAGCTGTAATCGCTGCCAAAGGTGATTCTAACATGTATTGACTCAGGGGGTTGAATACTTAGTAATCAAGATATATTTTAATTGTTTAGTATTTTATTTTATTTATTTGCCTGTGCTTAGCTCTATTCTGTTTATTTTTATCATAAAAAAACTAATTTTAGAATTAATGTTAGAATCTTTCTTCCACTTGTGACAGAGTATTTTGTGTAGATCGTTGACAAAAATGAAAATTAAATCTATTTGAATCCCACCTTGTAACACAACAAAATGTGGAAAAAGTCGAGGGGTGTGAATACTTTCTGAAGGCTCTGCAAGGTTATATCCAGACAGACACGTTTAGTCACACAATGAAGTGTATTTGACTGAGCAATCAGGCGTGTTTATGAACATGTGTAATGTGTGAGGCAGGCAGCTCTCAGTATTCACTGTGTGTGCCTGCATGCGTGTGCTTGTGTGTATGCAGCAGCATCAGTATGGCACACAGCATCTTATCATCCCAGAGTAGTTTACTGGGGAGTAAGAGACAATGTGAGTTAGTCAGAGAAGACGGGGTATTTTTCTCCATTTATACAGGATTAATAAAGGCCTAGTGCACAAATTTGGTGGGAAAAAGTAAAAAAAATAACATCACATATATTTTCATATTTTTGGGGTGGATTTTACAGGGGGTGCTGCAGCACCCATACTTCCCGTGGGTATGGATTTTACAGGGGGTGCTGCAGCACCCATACTTCCCGTGGGTATGGATTTTACAGGGGGTGCTGCAGCACCCATACTTCCCGTGGGTATGGATTTTACAGGGGGTGCTGCAGCACCCATACTTTCCGTGGGTATGGATTTTACAGGGGGTGCTGCAGCACCCATACTTCCCGTGGGTATGGATTTTACAGGGGGTGCTGCAGCACCCATACTTCCCGTGGGTATGGATTTTACAGGGGGTGCTGCAGCACCCATACTTCCCGTGGGTATGGATTTTACAGGGGGTGCTGCAGCACCCATACTTCCCGTGGGTATGGATTTTACAGGGGGTGCTGCAGAACCCATACTTCCCGTGGGTATGGATTTTACAGGGGGTGCTGCAGCACCCATACTTCCCGTGGGTATGGATTTTACAGGGGGTGCTGCAGCACCCATACTTCCCGTGGGTATGGATTGCGGGAGTTTGCTACTGTTTAGGCCTACATCACTGTCTCTCGTTCTCTCTCCAATGCTGACAGCTCGTTCTCTCTCCAATGCTGACAGCTCGTTCACACTCTCACCATTTGCGTTGGAGCGCACTGCACTTTGCTGTATGAAGCGACAGTATACTATTTATTTTGTACTGCCATGCAACTGCATAAACGTTTTAATTATAATGGACTTTCTATTGACCTTTCATGTTCCTATGTGGCTAAATAGGCCTCTTGTACATTCAGTTTTACTTAAATTCCTTAACTTTGGTTAGACTGTGAGGAAGCAACCGTAGAGTATTTGCTTTGTACTGCTATACAATTGCCACAGTCTTGCCAACATAACTCAGATATAGGCCATCTGTGTCTTGGCTTGTAGATCTCCTCGCTCTTATTGGCAGTAGAATAACGTTTTTTGATTAGAATCTGGTCTCAGAAGCACATGCTGCCTACTTCTAGTTGTTATTGTGGTAAGTGTCACAATCATGGTTACTAGGTTGGATTGAGTCTGCCTCTTGGTCTCTCCAAGCCTGAGTTATTTGCTTTGGTCTTGGGCCTCAGTAAGACTCATACCATCATTTTGTTAATTGAAGTGAAATACCTAAAGGGAAATGAAATGTAAAGAACAAGGGAATGTTGGCTGTGCAAACAGAGAACAGCAGAGAGTTGGATAGAGACATGTTTGAGTTATGAGGAGAATGAGATGAGTGATAAATGATATGTACATTCTGACACACATTAACAGACTCTGTTAGAACTTGCCAATGCCACGACTGTGAGTTCAATTCCAGCAGGGATCACATACACATTCAGAAAAATGTATGCATTCATTGTACTTTAAGTCGCTTTGGATAGAAGCTTTTAACTTAGTGGCAAAATTATAGTTTTTCTGTTTGTTTCATCACCCGCTTCATACAGACGTTCTGGTGATACTGGATAGATAAGTAAAAGTAGACTGCATAAATGTTAGTAAAATGTATAGCCGATGATCATCAATGCCTGTTCGATTCTGATCTGAGTTTGTAGTCATACGGAATGGCAGACACAATGATTGGATTGACTTTTTATAGAAACAAATGCTGTTGTCTCTGGAATGTTTTTCTATTTCTGTCTCTGTGGACATCATGTTCATTCACAATAAATAAACTGTGGGATCCTCTTCTGACTTTATTCTTCTTAGTATCTGGGGGGGTTCAGTTTGGGTGTGTGTGTGTACGTACGTGTGTGTTGTTGTTACAGCATGGTGTCCTTTCAATACCCTTTGTGATTCAGTTCTGAAAAACAAAGAGCTATCTACTATTCTCCATGCAGACAAAGGGGTAGAGAGAGGCGATGAAGCGTGGGGTGAGATTAGGGGACGGGGGATTGATGGAAGGGGAAAGAAGGACAGAAGCTGGAGCGAGGGATGGGATGAATTGAGAGAGATAGATGGAGAGAGGGATGGAATGAATTGAGAGAGATAGATGGAGAGAGGGATGGAATGAATTGAGAGAGATATATGGAGAGAGAGATGGAATGAATTGAGAGAGATAGATGGAGAGAAGGATGGAATGAATTGAGAGAGATATGGAGAGAGGGATGGGATGAATTGAGAGAGATAGATGGGAGAAGGGTATAGATGGGACGGGATCTGGTGACTTGGAGGCTACTGCGGGGTAGCTGTGCGCGCGTTGCATGGCTCCTTGCCGCGCTCGCTGGCGCGGGGCTCGCTGGCGCCGGGCTCGCTGGCGCGGGCTGGGCTGCCTTGCGCCGCTCGCTGGCGCGCGGGCTCGCTTGCCGCGGCTGGCTGCCTTGCGCGGGCTCGCTGGCGCGCGGGCTCGCTGCGCGCGGGCTCGCTGGCGCGCGGGCTGGCTGCCTTGCGCGGGCTCGCTGCGCGCGGGCTCGCTGGCGCGCGGCTGCTGGCGCTCGGGCTGGGCTGCCTTGCGCGCGCTCTCTGGCGCGCGTGCTCGCTGGCGCGCGGGCTGGCTGCCTTTCGTGGCTCGCTGGCGCGCGGCTGTGTGCGCTCGGGCTGGGCTTGCCTTGCGCCGCTCGCTGGCGCGCGGGCTCGCTGGCGCTCGGGCTGGGGGGCGCGCGGGCTGGTGGGCCGCGGTGCGCTGGTGGCGCGGGCTCGGTGGCGCGCGGGCTCGCCGCGCGCGCGCGCGTCCGCGCGCGCGCGCGCGCGCGCGCGCGCGCGTCCGCGCGCGCGCGCGCGCGCGCGCGCTCGCGCGCGCGCTCTCGCGCTCTCGCGCGCGCGCGCGCCGCGCTCGGCTCGCGCGCGCGCGCTCCTCGCTCGCGCGCGCTCGCTCGCGCGCGCGCGCTCCCTCTCGCGCTCTCCGCGCTCTCTCTCTCTCTCTCTCGCTCTCTCGCTCGCTCTCTCTCTTCTCTCTCGCTCTCTCGCGCTCTCCTCTCTCTCTCTCGAACATCACGCGGAACAGCGCGAGATAACTAAATGCTGCCCAGACAGAGATTAAATAAAGAGGAGACAGACAGAGAGCTAAATAAAGAGAGCGACAGGGGACAGAAGAAGATAAATAAAGAGGAGACAGACAGAGAGATAAATAAAGAGGAGACAGACAGAGAGATAAATAAAGAGGAGACAGACAGAGAGATAAATAAAGAGGAGACAGACAGAGAGAGAAGGTGAAGGCCAGATTTGAATTAATTGAATTCTTCATTGATCTCGTCCAGCCCCTGAGCTATAAATTGCCCCTTAGTTACAGGTTGAGTCGATAGGTAATTAGTGGGTGATGTATCGTAAAGGCTAATACACACAGTGCCTGTGGCCCAGGAGGCTTCTGATAGCAGAGCTTCTATTCTCTACACCAGATGTACTGGGACACATAATATTACACCAGACCTCTTCTACCACTGAGTATAAGGCTACACCAAGGTTATAGACAAAAGGAGTTCTGATCCCATTTGTTACTACCACACCAGTGCTGCTAATGAGTGTTTTAATGAGGTATAGAGCTTATTCACGCCATGACCATGATCATTTAAAATCCAGGCTAGCGTGGCAGTATTGAAGTACTCCATTGAGTCTATGGAAATATTTTAACACTTTCACGTTCAACCTTTTAAATTAACAGACAATTAATAAACCGACCAACTGAAAATACGTGTATCTGCAGAAGTAGTTTAGTATTCAAACTTTGTTTTCCAGGTTTTTTTTCTCCAAATGTTTTGCCTTTTTAAATAATTCCGTCAGATGCCAGCTAGTTCCAATGTAACATGAGTTAGCAGCCAGCTATACTGTGTATATTTGTATGAGTTTGGTCGGCACTCTGACAGCTCTGAATCCCTTTTATCTCCTAGACTCTGTCACTGTGTTTGTTGTTTTTATCACGCTGTGCATCAGTACATGCCATGTTTATGATGCATTCTGTGGAACTGTAGTAATATAGACTGGATGAAGTTCTACATAAGCCATTTGCTAGTTCTCTAATGTTGGAGATATTTCAATAGGCAGTCTCGGAAAATACCCTTGCTAGATAGCTAACGGCTTGCTATCTGAGGAAGATACAGCTAATTGGAGGCCAGCTCTTTCTCGTTATTGTAAATGCAGCCCACCGTTTCTATTTTTCTGTCGATGCCGATGAGACTAATCAGAGTTATATTTGTGTTTCTCTTTCTCTCTCTTCCTCAGGTGGGGAGTCCCACCTCCGTCAACGCCCCCTGCAGCTTTTCACGGACATCGGTCACCCCCTCCAACCAGGACATCTGCAGGTACTATACACACACCTTTAAACAATAACCTTTGAACTCTAACCCCTGACCTTTAACCTTCCAACCATGACATCTGCTGGTGTACATCCTTCAAATGCTTTGGGCTGCTGAGGGCAATGCTTGGCTCTGGATCTTAGCAGTCCCGTGGTTAGTTGATTGTATTTAGGGTGAAAGCAAGGTGCCAGATTTTGTTGCCTTACAACCTGGAATTAAAATAGATTTTTGGGGGGTTTGTATCATTTGATTTACACAACATGCCTACCACTTTGAAGATGCAAAATATTTGTTATTGTGAAACAAACAAGAAATAAGACAAAAACACTGAAAACTTGAGCGTGCATAACTATTCACCCCCCCAAAGTCAATACTTTGTAGAGCCACCTTTTGTAGCAATTAGAGCTGCAAGTCTCTTGGGGTATGTCTCTATAAGCTTGGCACATCTAGCCACTGGAATTTCTGCCCATTCTTCAAGACAAAACTGCTCCAGCTCCTTCAAGTTGGATGGGTTCCACTGGTGTACAGCAATCTTTGTCATACCACAGATTCTCAATTGGATTGAGGTCTGGGCTTTGACTAGGCCATTCCAAGACATTTAATTGTTTCTCCTTAAACCACTTGAGTGAATGGATTTAATGGTGCTCCGTGGGATGTTCAAAGTTTGGGATATTGTTTTATACCCCAACCCTGATCTGTACTTCTCCACAACCTAGTCCCTGACATGTTTGGAGAGCTCCTTGGTCTTCATGGTGCCGCTTGCTTGGTGGTGCCCCTTGCTTAGTGGTGTTGCAGACTCTGGGGCCTTTCAGAACAGGTGTATATATACTGAGATCATGTGACAGATCATGTGACACTTAGATTGCACACAGGTGGACTTTATTTAATTAATTATGTGACTTCTGAAGGTAATTGGTTGCACCAGATCTTATTTAGGATCTTCATAGCAAAGGGGGTGAATACATACAGTGAGGGGAAAAAAGTATTTGATCCCTTGCTGATTTTGTATGTTTGCCCACTGACAAAGAAATGATCAGTCTATAATTTTAATGGTAGGTTTATTTGAACAGTGAGAGACAGAATAACAACAAAATAATCCAGAAAAACACATGTCAAAAATGTTATAAATTGATTTGCATTTTAATGAGGGAAATAAGTATTTAACCCCCTCTCAATCACAAAGATTTCTGGCTCCCAGGTGTCTTTTATACAGGTAACGAGCTAAGATTAGACGCACACTCTTAAAGGGAGTGCTCCTAATCTCAGCTTGTTACCTGTATAAAAAACACCTGTCCACAGAAGCAATCAATCAATCAGATTCCAAACACTCCACCATGGCCAAGACCAAAGAGCTCTCCAAGGATGTCAGGGACAAGATTGTAGACCTACACAAGGCTGGAATGGGCTACAAGACCATCGCCAAGCAGCTTGGTGAGAAGGTGACAACAGTTGGTGGGATTATTCGCAAATGGAAGAAACACAAAAGATCTGTCAATCTCCCTCGGCCTGGGGCTCCATGCAAGATCTCACCTTGTGGAGTTGCAATGATCATGAGAACGGTGAGGAATCAGCCCAGAATAATAAATAATAATAATATGCCATTTAGCAGACGCTTTTATCCAAAGCGACTTAGTCATGCGTGCATACATTTTTGTGTATGGGTGGTCCCGGGGATCGAACCCACTACCCTGGCATTACAAGCGCGATGCTCTACCAGCTGAGCTACAGAGGACCACACAGAACTACACGGGAGGATCTTGTCAATGATCTCAAGGCAGCTCGGACCATATTCAAAAAGAAAACAATTGGTAACACACTATGCCGTGAAGGACTGAAATCCTGCAGCGCCCGCAAGGTCCCCCTGCTCAAGAAAGCACATATACAGGGCCATCTGAAGTTTGCCAATGAACATCTGAATGATTCAGAGGAGAACTGGGTGAAAGTGTTGTGGTCAGATGAGACCAAAATCGACCTCTTTGGCATCAACTCAACTCGCCGTGTTTGGAGGAGGAGGAATGCTGCCTATGACCCCAAGAACACCATCCCCATCGTCAAACATGGAGGTGGAAATATTTTTTTCAGTTTTTCTGCTAAGGGGACAGGACAACTTCACCGCATCAAAGGGACGATGGACGGGGCCATGTACTGTCAAATCTTGGGTGAGAACCTCCTTCCCTCAGCCAGGGCATTGAAAATGGGTCGTGGATGGGTATTCCAGCATGACAATGACCCAAAACACTCGGCCAAGGCAACAAAGGAGTGGCTCAAGAAGAAGCACATTAAGGTCCTGGAGTGGCCTAGTCAGTCTCCAGACCTTAATCCCATAGAAAATCTGTGAAGGGAGCTGAAGGTTCGAGTTGCCAAACGTCAGCCTCGAAACCTTAATGACTTGGAGAAGATCTGCAAAGAGGAGTGGAACAAAATCCCTCCTGAGATGTGTGCAAACCTGGTGGCCAACTACAAGAAACGTCTGACCTCTGTGATTTCCAACAAGGGTTTTGCCACCAAGTCATGTTTTGCAGAGGGGTCAAATACATATTTCCCTCATTAAAATGCAAATCAATTTATAAAATTTTTAACATGCGTTTTTCTGGATTTTATTGTTGTTATTCTGTCTCTCACTGTTCAAATAAACCTACCATTAAAATTATAGACTGATCATGTCTTTGTCAGTGGGCAAACATACAAAATCAGCAGAGGATCAAATACTTTTTTCCCTCACTGTATGCACGCACCACTTTTCCGTTATTTATTTTTTAGCATTTTTTGAAACAAGTTATTTTTTGAATTTCACATCACCAATTTTGACTATTTTGTGTATGTCCATTACATGAAATCCAAATAAAAATGCATTTAAATTACAGGTTGTAATGCAACAAATTAGGAAAATCACCAAGGGGGATGAATATCTTTGCAAGGCACTGTAGATGGGAGCTAGAGTTGGCAGTGAGGAGTACTACACTGTACTGAAGAATTTTCCCTTAGTGTCCAGAAATTGTGTTCTGCTTTATGCCAACCCCTTTGTGCAAGGTCAGGGAGTTTCCCTGTTTTAACTCTCCATCCTTTCCTTAATCTGTTTTCTTTGTTTTGTTTGAATGCATGCTGGCCTTTCATTTAGTTTCATTTCATTTATCTTTTTTCTACCCATCTCTCCTCCTTCCTGCTTGTCTCTCCTCTCCTTCTCTCTCCTGTACCGGTTTTCCGCTATCGTCTGCCCGTCCATCCCTTCCTTTCTCCACTCCTCCAACCTCCATCCTTCCGCTCCCTCACACACAGCCTTACCGCCACATCTCCAGACCAGGGCTCCCAGAAGCCTTTGCAGACCGCCGTGGTTCTGATGAACTCCAACGGCAAAACCTCTCAGGGGTCAGGAGGGGGCATCTCCGTGACAACACTCTGCCTGGACGCCCCCCCAGCCTTCAAGCCCCACAAAGGCCGGGGCGGGCTCTCCTTCGGGACAGAATGGCTCTCGTTGCTCCGCCCCTCCACCGTCAACGGGACACTGAAGTTCTCTCACTCTCTGAACGATGTGGGCCAGCACATGGACAGCCTCTGTAGCGGACTGCACTTCATAGACCGGACCTGTTCTGAAGGAGAGCTGGATGTAAAACCTAAACAACCCAACACGGACCAGAAGTCCAAGACGCTCAACGGCAAAGCAGCCACACTCCCACACCAGGCCTCGAACCATCCTCCCTTCCCCACGCACACACTCACCCACACACACCCTCACCTCGTTCCCTCGTTCACCAACAACTACAAATACCTCACCCACGAACACTGCCTCCAACCTTATTCTTCTGGCGTCCCTCCTCCTCCTCCTCCACCTCCTAACTCCCACCTCCACCCGCCCAGCTCCAAACTCCTCCGCCTCTTGCTCCCCTTCTCTCGCTCCTCTACCTCGGCCAGTCTGCAGTGTTCTGAGCTGGGTAGCTACGCCTCCCGCCTCCACATCACCAAATCCTCCAGCGCCCTGATGGGAGGCAGTGAGCCTCCACTGGGGGGAACAGAGGGCCTCCTGGGGGATGACGAGGTGTTTGAGATCCCCCAGGGAAGGACCGGAACTTGGACAGGGGCTGGAGCCCCAGGAAGTGGTGCCGGATGCGGGGAAGCGGGTCTGCTCGGGGCAGCCCCCCTTTGCTACATGGACGAAGACAGCGATCTGGACCGTTTTTCGTTTCTGGACCGGTGTTCGTCACCTGCCCACTCTGACAAAACGGGGCCGCACACGCCAGGCCCGCTCTCGCCCTATTCGCTGTCCGGAGACTGCTGCAGGTGGGTGATTCCTGGATTGTGACCCCCCCCTGTGCCGTGAAGTGGTAGACTCCTCCTGCTCACCCCCGTGCTGTGACGTGGTATAGCCCCATAGAATTCCATGGCTGGATCCTGCCTACGCCTCCTGTGACGTGACGTGGTAGAGCCCTGCCCATCCCTCCTGTGAAGTGGTAGTGACTGTGCGATCAGGGACTAGCTCGATCAGGGACTAGCTCGAACGGTCAGTCACACTGTGGTCTACTCTCCAATTATGCTTGCGTGGGTGTGTTATATTTTTCAAATTGGAAAATAGGATTTCAATAATTAGCTCGCTGGTTATCCACAGAGACAGCAGGCGGCGGGGAGAGAAGAGACACAGACAGAGGAGAGAGAAAGAGAAAAAGAAAAAGAAAAGGAGAGAGGGAGCAAGTGCTTTTGGATGAAGGTGTTCTGACTTGTCACTCCTCCTCTGTACCAGTGGAGGCTCCTCAGAGGAGGAAGGGGAGAACCATCCTCCTCAGTGAATTTAATAAATATAGTGAAACATTAAGTTATCCTTTTTAGATAACACTATAATAAGTATATTCACTTCACCAAATAATTGATTAAAACACACTGTTTTGCAATGAAGATCTACAATAGCCTCAACAGCACTCAGTAGGGTAGTACCATGGTGAAGCCAGAGGTCAGCTAGTTTTAGTCCTCCTCTGGGTACATTGACTTCAATACAAGACATAGGAGGCTCATGGTTCTCACCCCCTTCCATTACACAGTAATTATGACAACTTCCAGAGGACGTCCCTCAATCTATCAGATCTCTTGCAGCATTAACTGACATGTTGTCCACCCAATCAAAGGATCAGAGAATGAATCTAGTACTGAAAGCATAAGCTACAGCTAGCTAGCACTGCAGTGCATAAAATGTGGTGAGTAGTTGACTCAAAGAGAGAGAAAGACAATAGTTGAACAGTTTTGAACAAGTTAATATTTTTTAACTTTCACTTTCACTTAGCTAACGAATGCAGCCAGCTAGTTCAGCCTACTCAAACACCCGGCTCAAACAGTGAGGGATGCTATGTTAGCTAGCTGGCTATGGCTATCCAACACTAGAACTTTTCCGGGGCCCGCCGGTGTAACTGCTAAACTGCTTGCTGACTGTACACCGTACTGCATGATTGTAGCGGGTTTACTAACGCATTAGTTCTAGTAGCTATGTTGACGTGAGCTAATATGGTGACAACGATGTAGGCTGTGTGTAGCGGTTATGATATGAAGGTTTGGTTTGGAAAGGTTTTTTCACTTGGTCACAGACAACTGATGTGTTGTGCACTGAAGTCCACAAGTGAAGGGAAAAGGTGAGAGGAGGAATTATAGAAAAAGCAAAAATGATCATGCTGTTTGTATGAGGCTGCTATGAAAGTGAACTGTATTTGCGTGTGATCAGGGGTGTATTCGTTCCACTGAATTTGTTGAAAGACCTTTCTTAAACGGAAGAAAACTGAACGAAACTGGGATAAACATACCTGGATTTGTCCAATAGAAACTCTCATTTGCAACTGTTGGACTTCTGATTACAGCCAAGATCAGATGCAGGTGGTATTGAATGTGTCACTGTCTGTCACCTTGATTACTCCAATTTTTATCTTGACCTGTGCACCTACGTTGTAAACGTTCATTCATAGGCTAAGTTAGGTTGTAGGAACCTCATGATGGATATAGGGAAGACTTTGTATCATGTAGTTTGAAGTTTGAATTTATTTGTTCTTGGGAGTACAGGAGGGGACTGAGCACGCACCCCTGAGGGGCCCCTGTGTTGAGGATCAGCGTGGCAGACATGTTGTTACCTACCCTTACCACCTGGGGGCAGCCCGTCAGGAAGTCCAGGATCCAGTTGCAGAGGGAGGTGTTTAGTCCCAGGGTCCTTAGCTTAGTGATGAGCTTTGAGGGCACTATGGTGTTGAACGCTGAGCTGTAGTCAATGAATAGCATTCTCACGTAGGTGTTCCTCTTGTCCAGGTGGGAAAGGGCAGTGTGGAGTGCAATAGAGATTGCATCATCTGTGGATCTGTTGGGGCGGTATGCAAATTGGAGTGGGTCTAGGGTTTCTGGGATAATGGTGTTGATGTGAGCCATGACCAGCCTTTCAATGCACTTCATGGCTACAGACGTGAGTGCTATGGGTCGGTAGTCATTTAGGCAGGTTATCTTAGTGTCCTTGGGCACAGGGACTATGGTGGTCTGCTTGAAACATGTTGGTATTACAGACTCAGTCAGGGACATGTTGAAAATGTCAGTGAAGACACTTGCCAGTTGGTCAGCACATGCTCGGAGTACACGTCCTGGTAATCCGTCTGGCCCTGCGGCCTTGTGAATGTTGACCTGCTTAAAAGTCTTACTCAAATGGGCTACGGAGAGCGTGATCACATAGTCATCCGGAACAGCTGATGCTCTCATGCATGCTTCAGTGTTGCTTGCCTCGAAGCGAGCATAGAAGTGATTTAGCTCGTCTGGTAGGCTTGTGTCACTGGGCAGTTCGCGGCTGTGCTTCCCTTTGTAGTCTGTAATAGTTTTCAAGCCCTGCCACATCCGACGAGCGTCAGAGCTGGTGTAGTACAATCCAATCTTAGTCCTGTATTGACTCTTTGCCTGTTTGATGGTTCGTCGGAGGGCATAGCGGGATTTCTTATAAGCTTCCGGGTTAGAGTCCCGCTCCTTGAAAGCAGCAGCTCTACCCTTTAGCGCAGTGCGGATGTTGCCTGTAATCCATCGCTTCTGGTTGGGGTATGTACGTACGGTCACTATGGGGATGACGTCATTGATGCACTTATTGATGAAGCCAGTGACTGATGTGGTGTACTCCTCAATGCTATCTGAAGAATCCCGGAACATATTCCAGTCTGTGCTAGCAAAACAGTCCTGTAGCTTAGCATCTGCGTCATCTGACCAATCTTTTATTAACAGAGTCACTGGTGCTTCCTGCTTTAGTTTTTGCTTATAAGCAGGAATCAGGAGGATAGAGTTATGGTCAGATTTGCCAAATGGAGGGCGAGGGAGAGCTTAAATATGAATGACAGTCATCCAATATGCTGTAATAGAAATAAGTAAATAAAATAATCGTCCTCCCTCATCTTAAATGCCACATTTTCCTAATTGAAAAGCATTGAAGATAATTGGAATCGGAATTTCAGTGTACTTCCTGAATTGACTGGAATTGCAATGGAATTGACCCCAACCCTGATGGACTGAGATCACCACTGATCCAGATCCTTCCTGTTCTGTCTGCTCTGTTCTGTCCTGGCTGCTAGCCTAATGAGACAGTCTTTCTGACACATTATTGGAGTGGCTCTCCCCGGTTCGGAAATTATCAGAAATCGAGCCAGCGCAAATGTGTAGTGAGAGAGATCAGTACAGTGGGAGTGGCAGAGACAGAGTTTTGTTGCTGAGAATTTTCAGATGAGCTTCTTGATTTCCATAAATTCACTGAAAACCCACACTAACACATGATTATATTAACAGTATTGCACTTTTCATGTATACTTTTGGCCAGCTAATAGCCTAACCACCGATCAAGCAACGTTATGGACTAAACATTCAAATCCTGTTACTGCAGGATTCTTTTGCTGTGACAATGTAGGTCAAATTAAGATCCTACATCTCTACAGGAACACTCAGATGTTATAATGAAGTTATCTTTTTTCTCTATCCTCCTGTTTCCATCATCATTTTAATCCATGTTTCCTGCTGGCATTTGAATGCGTTCCATGTCGAGATACTCTGGTGGCGTCCCTGTTACCTGCCATCTCACTATCTCTTCTCAACAAGATGTGTTCTGGCTGACGAAGCAAGGCAAATGTAATCCCTGTTTCTGTCATATTCTCAGCCAGCCAGCAGTGCATAAAATGTACACCAATACAGCCAATTTAGTTGCCAGTCAACAGAGAGCTTAGGAACAGCGCACAGTTGTCTCACGCACTATCTGAGTACTAGTACACATACTTTATGAATACCATTATGGGCTCAGTCTGGTGTGGTAATGGCTGATTATCATCTCTCGTTAACTCTTCTAAGTTAGTGAGCCGTGTTCAGGGAATCAACTTGTTTTTCTCAGTGCTTTGCAGAGCCGCATACAAACACACCACAACAACCTACCCCAGCAATAAACACTACCTCCTCTTTATCCCTTCATTCATCCCTCCATCCCACCCTCTCCTCTTCTCCTCCCCATCCATAACCACTAGAATCACCCCCTCTCCATCCCTCCATCCCACCCTCTCCTCTTCTCCTCCCCATCCATAACCACTAGAATCACCCCCTCTCCATCCCTCCATCCCACCCTCTCATCTTCTCCTCCCCATCCATAACCACTAGAATCACCCCCTCTCCATCCCTCCATCCCACCCTCTCCTCCCCATCCATAACCACTCTAATCACCCCTCTCCATCCCTCCATCCAACACTCTCCTCTTCTCCTCCCCATCCATAACCACTATAATCACCCCTCTCCATCCCTCCATCCCACACTCTCCTCTTCTCCTCCCCATCCATAACCACTATAATCACCCCTCTCCATATCTCCATCCCACCCTCTCCTCTTCTCCTCCCCATCCATAACCACTAGAATCACCCCCTCTCCATCCCTCCATCCCACCCTCTCCTCTTCTCCTCCCCATCCATAACCACTAGAATCACCCCCTCTCCATCCCTCCATCCCACCCTCTCCTCTTCTCCTCCCCATCCATAACCACTAGAATCACCCCCTCTCCATCCCTCCATCCCACCCTCTCCTGTTCTCCTCCCCATCCATAACCACTCTAATCACCCCTCTCCATCCCTCCATCCCACACTCTCCTCTTCTCCTCCCCATCCATAACCACCAGAATCACCTCCTCTTTATTCCTTCATCCATTCCTCCATCCCACTCCCTCCTCCTCCACCTCGCCTCCTCCTTTGTTCATGTTGCCGTTTCATCTTGTGAGGATTTGGCCAGATCAAACTTATTATCCTCCTAACTGACTCACTACACCCACCTCCCCTCCTTAACCAAGATGTGTGTGTGTGTGTGTGTGTGTGAGAGAGAGAGGGAGTGAGTGAGTGACAGTGTGATCCACCTCATGGTTATGACCAGACAGTAGGCACTCTTTTGACCAACTCATTTCTAAACCCTGCTGTGCTCTCCATCTCTGTTCTTTCCTTTCATTCTTTCTGCTCTGTTCCATTCTGTTATTTTATTCTGACTGAATATCATGCAAAATGCTGTTTTCATTTGAATTCAATTCAATATGGCTCTATGCACACTTCTCAAGGACAGCTAAGAAGGCTTTGTCAGTAAAACCACTAGTTTCATGTTAATGTGTGTTTGTTCTGAGAGTATTGACTTCAGAGATCATTTCTGTGCTGCCCTTAGAAGTTACTCTGCATTTTCAGCATTGAGTCTAATCCCATCCTCCTCTCTCTCTCTCTCTCTCTCTCTCTCTCTCTCTCTCTCTCTCTCTCGCTCTCGCTCTCGCTCTCGCTCTCTCGCTCTCTCGCTCTCTCGCTCTCTCGCTCTCTCGCTCTCTCGCTCTCTCTCTCTCAATTTCTCTCTCTCTCTCTCAATTTCTCTCTCTCTCTCTCTCCATCGATTTTTCTCCCTTCAACTTCCTACTTCCTCTCTTATCTCTCTGTTGACACCTACCCTACACACACACACTCTCAGTGGAGGTTACTCATAGTTTCCGTACTGTGTACACCTGCAAGACTGGCAGCAGCTGCCACAGATTGGATTTACAGGTGAGGAGGGACAGAGAAGAGAAAGAGAGAGACAGAGACAGCGTGAAAGAAAGAGAGCGGAGAGAGAAGCAAGCTGGTAGAGAGAAGAGGTGCAATGTTACAGATCTGATTGACTCCCTCAAATATACATTTCCTATGAAGGAGCAGATATTTGATTTAATGTGTATGGTGTGTGTGTGTATGCTCAGAATACTCAATAGAGGGGTGTGTGTGTGTGTGCGCAGAGTCACTGTAGTGATCTCATGCCCCTCAACGCTGAATGCTGCTGTGGTAAAATACCTTTAAGTTGTTGTATTTGTAAGCCATACTGTAACAAACTATCCATGTCATTCTAGGCCTTCCCTATGGATGCGTCCCACATGGCACCTTATTCCCTATAGAGTACCACAGTATGAGTCATAATACCCATAAAACCTAGCGGTCAAACAGGGAAATGGTTCCAATCATTTTTTCCACCATTGATTTTTCCCATAGTGGATTTTAGAAGTCACCTTGTCTGAGAGAGATTTACATGGTTATCAAAATGTCACGCCAGGGTAAGCCTACACAAAACACAGTCCTTATTTTAAGTGTTTCTAAAATCCCCTATGGGAAAAATTAATGGTGGAAAAATTATTGGAACCATTTCCCTGTTTGACTGCTAGGTTTTATGGGTATTATGACACCTCTCACCCATGTCCCTCAGAAAACAGCAAATGATTCATGACTGTGAGGTTGATTTGAGAATAAAGTAGCTGAAATTACATTAGTTTGTCATTATTGAGTTTCCTCTTGGGGACATAGTCTGTGTTGGGGTTGTGTTATTAGTTTGGATGTGATCAGTATGTCTGTCTGTGTCTGATATAGACTCTGATATCTACATTTCCTGTTAACATCACTGAGTCGTGTCTCTGTCTGTGCTGTATTCTGCCTCTGTGGAGTTCTGTCTGTATTCTCCTCTAGGGTCACTGAGAGTGTGCTAATAACTCTGTATCAGTAACTGTCTAGAGACTGTCTGTTGTCTGTGTATCTGCTATGGTCTACTTATCTGTGTCTGTAACTGACCCTGTGTGTCTGTGTCTCTCTCTGTAGGATCTGTCACTGTGAAGGAGATGATGACAGCCCGCTGATAACACCGTGCCACTGTACAGGCAGCCTGCGCTTCGTCCACCAGGCGTGCCTGCAGCAGTGGATCAAGTCCTCGGACACACGCTGCTGTGAACTCTGCAAGTACGAGTTCATCATGGAGACCAAGCTCAAACCCCTGCGCAAGGTGAGACTGAAGGTGTATTTGTGTTTGTGTTTGTGTGTGTGTGTGTGTGCATACTACACTCATTCTATTCTAGTTCTACATTCCCAGAGATGACTGTGACCAGAACATGCAGATGTGAATCCCACTCGAAGACACTGACAAGACAGAAAGCTGTTTTAATTATCTAATACTGATAAGAGTAGCGTGACATTGGGTTTTCGGCTTTGAAGAAGATTTCAGAAGACAATCTGGAGGTTGCAATTGGATTCGAATGGTTTTGACATGATACAGTCTTATTTAAGGCATTTATCAATCTTTAACGCTTCCAGATTCAAAATTTTTATTAAAATGATTAAAATGATTAAAATGACAAAAACACTTAAATAAAAGGCCATTCTGTTAATAGTCGTGTCCCCCTTCAGGCCAAATCCTCATTCCTCCTCCACAAAAAACTCTAAGAGGCAATGTAACCCCTAATAGTACAGCTATATCGTAAACATGAATCCAGAATAGGAGAAAGAAGAAGAAAAAAGAAAAGGAAAAAGAAGCTCCTCATCCCTCCAACCATCAGCTCATCCTCCTCACACCTCCACTCTCCTCCTCCTCCATCCACCTCGTCCTCCTCGTCCTCCCTCCTGCTCCACCCTCCTCCTGCTCCACCCTCCTCCTCCTCCACCTCCCTCCTCCTCCACCCTCGTCCTCCTCGTCCTCTCTCCTCTCCATCAGGATGAAGTGTCTTTATTATCTGCCCTCTGTTCCTCTCCGTAAATGTTGCATTATTCAGGAAGAACTAGCCACGGTGCCAGGGTATTGGTTTATAGGACTGGCAACGGGATCAGTGGTGGCTCCTGAAAAAATTCTCAGGAGGGGCAATTTTTCTGATGATTTAGGTGACCTACACACATTTTAAAAAAGATATGTCCAGCAACAACATGAAGACAGGGGCAGCATATAAGTCAATACCAGAAGCATTTATTGACTGATCTGGGGAGATGGATTCCAGTTTCTGTGACAGATTATAAATAATCTCTGATGCCTTTGTTATATTAGCTTTTGGTTGAATGTACTGTCGTAGTAAATATATAATGTTATAGCTTGGTCTGACTAAAATCTTGTGCATGACCCATTTTGTGTTGGGCCTTTGTATTCAATACAATGAACAAGAGTCCTATCTTGTCAGCCTTGTCACCAGGTGGCTAAGGATAACACCCACGCCATAGGTCTCTCAGTTCTTCCAACTCACGAGTTCTTGCCCTGAGGACACACACACACACACCCACACACACACACACACACACACACACACACACACACACACACACATCATCACTGATAAACACACACACACACACACACACACATCATCACTGATAACAAACACACACACACACACACACACACACACTGATAACAAACACACACACACACACACACAAATCCTCTTCTCTTAGGCTGAACATCTGAAGACAGAGAACCCGACTCAGAGCCAATGCAACAGTGACACTAGCCTGGAGGTGACCTCGCCCAACTCATCAGGACCAATCAGAAGATCAGAACTACTAGATTTAACCTACTTCATTTTATTGTATAAAATGTCAGCACACAATGTTTAGGGGCTCTTCTGATAAACTCCCTACGAGTTTGACGAACGGGTCCGTGCACGCGATTCCAGATATCTTTACCTCTGAATAAACTGCCTTATATTATACAATTATCCACCTTGTCCAAAAGTCTCTACTTGGTCTCCGTTCTCCAGTAAACTTGTTTTATCAACAATAGTAAGGTTCAATGACACAGAAAGCAGTTCAATGTCGGGGTACAGAGTCGCTCTCTTACCAGGATCGCGGTCCGCTCTGACCAGGGTGAAGCCGGCCGGCTCCACCTCTCTGTCCGGGACTCTGTCATCCAGCCAAGTCTCCCAGCTGTATTGGGATTCCGCTGCCAGCAGCGTTTTCATTATTTAGTCCGTTCGTAGCGGGTATGTACACGATCAACAAGATCAGTCCAAAACCGAAGATCAGTCCAAAGCAGAATGTTTGCAGAATGTTTGTAAACTAAGTCTACAAATTAAAAACATAAAATAACGCCACACTGCAGGTCGCAACATAGACGCTGCTAGCCGCCATTGTCTTAGTTACGTTCAACGTTACGTCACGTATGACGAAAGCGCGTAAGTGCATGCCCACAGACACCCATAGAGAATGTATTGAAAGCTTTGAAATGTGAAAAAAATAGATTTTACATGACAGGCTATGAGAGACTTCTGGGCGATTTTCAACCTGACTGAAATCGCCCAAAAAACGGGCGGGGCCATTTGAAGCACGACTTTAGCCTGATTTGACATTTAGTGGCTGGCAGATCAGACGTGAACACTGATAACTGCTGTTGCCGTGATATAATTGATTAGAAAAAAAATCCCTTCCTTTTCCCGTTTGGCAGTGCGTCGCCCATATCGCCCTATTGAACAAGCCGTCCCTGACTGGGATCTATAGTCAGTGAAGACTGAGATCTATACCTAGACTGAGATCTATACTGGGATCTATACCAGAGAAGGCCACTTTCCCTCCTATTCTCTAATTTGTCGTCTCCCTGTTCTATATTCTGTCATCCCTCTCTTCTCTCATCTCTCCCTTTTCTCCTTTTATCGAATCAATGCCAGAAACCAAAGCTGAAAAATAAATTGTGGCCATTGACCTTTCATTTCATGCTTGTCATAAAGAATTTCAAAGCATGTCGACATCTATGAAGGTTATTGAGAGATTGCATCTGATATTCAGAGGTATAATGTAGCAAAACCTTTTATCAATATGTATTTGACTGTGACCATTGATTTAAATGGGTTTCATGGATCAATAAAGAAACAGTCCAGTGTGTTGGATCTATAAGAGGTCTAACGATGTGGTTGAGTAGTACTGGACAGCTGATAAATAGTTAACCACCATCAGTGTGTAACTGAATGATCCACATAACACTGACTGAATGATGGCCATAATATATTTAGCACTCAGTTTAAGCAGCTTCTGAAGAGGGCCATGCGAGCACTTTCTGCCAGACTGCTCATAGTCCATTGATGGTCAATCGCCCAAACCCTGTCCGAGAGAACACAATGGAGTCTTTAAGTGTGTGTGTGTGTGTGTATCTGATTTGACCTCTTTTGTTTTTTCTCTTTCCCTCCCTCCTCTATTTCTCTCAGTGGGAGAAGCTCCAGATGACGTCTAGTGAGAGGAGGAAGATCATGTGTTCTGTGACGTTCCATGTCATCGCCATAACCTGCGTGGTGTGGTCCCTCTACGTGCTGATCGACCGCACTGCAGATGAGATCAGAGCAGGTCACCACAGGCACCAAAACCACCACAACACCCCTCAGAATGGACACTACACACGGCATACCCTTCAATACTTTCACTGCATGGCAAAAACACCATTACACCCCTCACTCAATACAGTAATAACATGCCAAAAACACCACAACACAATACAAAACTCTAGTACAGTACAACGTCACTCACACACACACACATATACACACTCTCTCTCTCTAGGTAGCCTAGCAGTTAAGAGAGTTGGGCCAGTAACTGAAAGGTCGCTGGTTCGAATCCCAGAGCCGGCAAGGTGAATTTTTTTTGCTGTTCTGCCCCTGAGCAAGGCAGTTAACCCCAACAACAACTGCTCCACGGGCGCGGATGATGTGGACGTCAATTAAACCAGCCCCCCCACACCTCTCTGATTCAGAGGGGTTGGGTTAAATGCAGAAGACACATTTCGGTTGAATGCGTTCAGTTGTGCAACTGACTAGGTATCACCTTTCCCTACTCTCGGGTCAGGCCCGTTCATGCAGATTGAAATGTTGTGTTGATCATTGTAAATAGTACAGTCAGTGTTTATTTGATATTTATTTGTAATAATGAGTCAATACCCACTGTATCTCTCTCTTTCTCTCTCTCTTATTACAAGTAATTTGGTAGCCAGCACTCTAAGCATGGTGCAAGACAGTTAGGACTGTTTTTCTGGGTCTGTTAAAGAGCAAGTGAAGGCATTAAACAACTTCTCCGGTAGAAAACGTTCTACAGTGAGGGAAAAAAGTATTTGATCCCCTGCTGATTTTGTACGTTTGCCCACTGACAAAGACATGATCAGTCTATAATTTGAATGGTAGGTTTATTTGAACAGTGAGAGACAGAATAACAACAAAGAAATCCAGAAAAACGCATGTCAAAAATGTTATACATTGATTTGCATTTTAATGAGGGAAATAAGTATTTGACCCCTCTGCAAAACATGACTTAGTACTTGTTGGCAAAACCAACCCTTGTTGGCAATCACAGAGGTCAGACGTTTCTTGTAGTTGGCCACCAGGTTTGCACACATCCCAGGAGGGATTTTGTTCCACTCCTCTTTGTAGATCTTCTCCAAGTCATTAAGGTTTTGAGGCTGACGGTTTGGCAACTCGAACCTTCAGCTCCCTCCACAGATTTTCTATGGGATTAAGGTCTGGTGACTGGCTAGGCCACTCCAGGACCTTAATGTGCTTCTTCTTGAGCCACTCCTTTGTTGCCTTGGCCATGTGTTTTGGGTCATTGTCATGCTGGAATACCCATCCACGACCCATTTTCAATGCCCTGGCTGAGGGAAGGAGGTTCTCGCCCAAGATTTTACGGTACATGGCCCCGTCCATCGTCCCTTTGATGCGGTGAAGTTGTCCTGTCCCCTTAGCAGAAAAACACCCCCAAAGCATAATGTTTCCACCTCCATGTTTGACAGTGGGGATGGTGTTCTTGGGGTCATAGGCAGCATTCCTCCTCCTCCAAACACTTTCACCCAGTTCTCCTCTGAATCATTCAGATGTTCATTGGCAAACTTCAGACGGGCCTGTATATGTGCTTTCTTGAGCAGGGGGACCTTGCGGGTGCTGCAGGATTTCAGTCCTTCACGGCGTAATGTGTTACCAATTGTTTTCTTGGTGACTATGGTCCCAGCTGCCTTGAGATCATTGACAAGATCCTCCCGTGTAGTTCTGTGTGGTCCTCTGTAGCTCAGCTGGTAGAGCACGGCGCTTGTAATGCCAGGGTAGTGGGTTCGATCCCCGGGACCACCCATACACAAAAATGTATGCACGCATGACTGTAAGTCGCTTTGGATAAAAGCGTCTGCTAAATGGCATATTATTATTATTTATTATTCTGGGCTGATTCCTCACCGTTCTCATGATCATTGCAACTCCACGAGGTGAGATCTTGCATGGAGCCCCAGGCCGAGGGAGATTGACAGATCTTTTGTGTTTCTTCCATTTGCGAATAATCACACCAACTGTTGTCACCTTCTCACCAAGCTGCTTGGCGATGGTCTTGTAGCCCATTCCAGCCTTGTGTAGGTCTACAATCTTGTCCCTGACATCCTTGGAGAGCTCTTTGGTCTTGGCCATGGTGGAGAGTTTGGAATCTGATTGATTGATTGCTTCTGGGGACAGGTGTCTTTTATACAGGTAACAAGCTGAGATTAGGAGCACTCCTTTTAAGAGTGTGCTCCTAATCTCAGCTCGTTACCTGTATAAAAGACACCTGGGAGCCAGAAATCTTTCTGATTGAGAGGGGGTCAAATACGTATTTCCCTCATTAAAATGCAAATCAATTTATAACATTTTTGACATGCGTTTTTCTGGATTTTTTTGTTGTTATTCTGTCTCTCACTGTTCAAATAAACCTACCATTAAAATTTTGACTGATCATTTCTTTGTCAGTGGGCAAACATACAAAATCAGCAGGGGATCAAATACTTTTTTCCCTCACTGTATGTGGCATCGATATTCATCAGAAACATTTATTCTAGTGTGAAATTGACTACAAAGTGTAAATAGGATAATTTTGGTCATAAAGTCAGTCTCATTCAAAACAGAGATTTGCGAGATAAAATGGTATGTCACGAATGAAGGGTACCGTAAAACAGTTTTCCTTTGGTTGGGTTTATTTCAATCCTGCCCACAGCTGGCAGCACCCAAGTAATCATCAATTCGGAGAGCATCTGCATGCGACCCGATCGTAATGCCTGACATTTGATATCCCTATGGGGATAGTTAGGGAACATCAGTAAATTACACAATGTACATATTTTAAAATGTCAATAGCTCCAAATTTCAAGGACTTAAAAACCTCAAACCAACTCTAAATTGTAGAATTAATATACAAATATTGAAAGCATCTAATAAGACAACTAAAAGGAATGCAACATGAAAATACTGTTCCATTTACATTGTGTCATTTATTGACGGTCCCTAACTATCCCCATAGATAGGCTATCCAAAGTCAAACCAGTTTTGCCACGGTCACACACCAGCCGGCTGAAACTAATTGGCGAAAGAAGTTGGCTAGCTTGCTAGCTAGTCTTGGCTACTTCCAGACACAAGACCTGGTTAGACTGTTTCAAGTTATCTAGAAGGGTGAGTGACTAACTGTGCACTGTTTTGGCAGTTAAAAGACAAACACTTCCCATGCTCGAACACACACAAGAGACACCCACATCAAAGCACGCCTCCAAAACCCAAATCTCATTCTGTCGCATTTCCTAATGAGGAGAATTGAAACCAAGGCTAAATCAGGAAGTTCAGCGTCCCTTTAAGCAGTTATTGTACTGCTAGAGAGAGTGTGTGGGGTGTGGGGGGGACCACTCTCTTTTCACCAGTGTAAGTGAATAAGGAGTATAAGTGCATGGTAAATTGAGTTATAAACTCTCTACCCTCTCTCTGTCTATCTGTCTATCACTGGTAATACATTGTAATGGCAATCTCTTCACCCATGCAGCCGGAAGAATCCCAGGTAAACCTTTCACCTTTGACCTTTAACAATGTTTTATGTAATTTTATGTGAGACTGGGCTTTGGTGTAGAGGGCTTTTTCTAATTTAATCTTTCCTTGATTCCTGTCATCTTCCCTCATTGCACTCAATCCAGCACTGACTTTGCTGATAGCGACTTTATTGAGGAAAAGTTGTACTTACTGTACTATGACTGTGGTTGTCTTACCTAGCTACCTTAAGGTGAATGCACAAACTGTAAGTTGCTCTGGATAAGAGTGTCTACTAAAATGTAAAATGTTTTCAAAACGCATTGGAGAAGGCAAGTGTGGAGGGACCTTCGACCTTCTTCTCCAATCTGTTTGGGAAGGAGGTGAGGAGATAGGACACAAGGAATTGCAGAAAGACGAATTGAGATAGAGTCTAGTTCCTGTTCCTCCTTCCTACATGACCCTCTCTCCTCCCCTTTCTTTACTCTCCTCTCCATGTTAGAACTGATCTATTTATTTCACCCTCCATAATCTCTTATAGCATCTGCATCCTTGATAAGCATATATCTATTTATGTGACCGTTGGCAATGTATTTGACATGTCTCACTCTTTCTCCCCCCCTCTTCTAACCCTAACCCCAGGTATCCTGGAGTGGCCATTCTGGACCAAGCTGGTGGTGGTAGCCATCGGCTTCACGGGCGGCCTGGTCTTCATGTACGTCCAGTGTAAAGTCTACATCCAGCTGTGGCGGAGACTCAAGGCCTACAACCGGGTGATCTATGTCCAGAACCGCCCGGAGACGTGTAAAAAGCAGGTGTTCGAGAAGCTGCCCCTCATGGAGCCCAGTTTGGAGCACAAGGAGGCTCTGGCCCCCACCCAGTCTGACACAAACTCCTCCCAGTACACAGAGGATTACAGTATGGAAGTGCTACATGTCTGACCAACATATTACTGATGTGCACACACCATTTGACTGACATATACTGATACACAGGCACACCGTGTCTGACCGACATTTACACACGCACAGGGACACATCATGTCTGACCAACATACACACACACACACACACACACGAGCACACAGAGTAAAAAACACACAACACACAGACATACATAAGATTATAATATGGTGGTTCTACTGAGGTGTGACCACCCACCACCACCCTGCCCCCACCATCCCCACACAGTCTGAGACAGTATGGACCAGTCCCCTCCCCTCTCCCAGGACTAGACCTCCTTCACTGGGGCCCCGAAGAGCCCATAGACCCCTCTATACACACACATCTCTGGGGGAACAGGACTGAAACAGATGAACTCATTCGGCTCCAGAGGTTTCAGTGTTTCTGTTGAGCTGTTTGTATGTTGCTTTGTTTGTTTGGTTTATTTGTTTTACTTCCTGTGAATCATGGGCTAAACCATCATGGATCAGTGTGTAGCGCCACCGTATCTCTGGAATATTCTAGAACATTCTGGAACATTGAACATTCCAACTACTGCCACCGTACTGCTTTCGTCCGAGAGCCCGCTAAGGCCCGCTCCCCGCCTCTCTGAGTTTGGGTCTGTACTGGTTTGGACTGGATCTGACTGGATTGTACTGAATCTGACCATGCATTGAAGCACTTTTTGGTTCCTACCAACACTCCTCTCAACCCTCTTCTCTTTTAATATTAATAAATTACTTTATAGTATATCCCAGCAAGCAGGGGACGTCCTAAGCAACGTTGCCATTAGGTCCCTTTTAGGGTTTTGGCGTTCTGAGAACGTTCCACTGGCGTTCTGAGAACGTTCTAGGAATATTAAAATATGACATGAACCTCTGGACGATAAGGGGACGTTCAGAACAGATCCCAGTTTGGTTGTAGTATAACGTTATAATAAGGTAATTTGATATCCACTAGGGAACTTTACAAATAGGTTCCTATTTGGTTCTAATTACCGGGAAGTAGACAAAACCTCCACAGGACCATGACACAACGTTCTGACGACTTTAGGATACCATTTCCTGACGTTCCGGGGACGTCCTAAAGACACATTTTTGTTTACAAGGATAAGTGTAGGAAATTATACAGCAAGAAATAGGACGATTTGTGAAAAAATCCCTTGTTTTATATTTGACATTTCTGTCCCACACACATACCTGCCCTCCCTTGGATGGAAATCGAGGAAAGCAATGAATGATGGAGGGGGAATGGAATTCTGTCGAAATGATCATTGCACTTTTCACTTAACACTGAAAGTAATGCTAAATATGGCCTACTGGTTATTCAAGCCCTGTGGTTTTTGATACAACCAAAACACAATGTTGGGATAACATCAGATCCAGCCATCCACCTGACATTACCTCCCTCTACCATAAGAACTCTCTGAAGGCTCTGAGAATGTAACATTTTTAAAAGCATTTTCTACAAACCATTCCATCACAGGAAATTGCTAGATAATCTCCCATGTCAGTCAGCATCATAACATGACCTTTGGAAAAACCAACCAATCTGTCATGTTTTTTCTATTGTGCGAATGACACAGTACTTGTGGTATTCCATGTGCAGTTTTTAATAATAATAATCTGTTGTTACTTATGTTTGTGTAATCATGGGTTCTATGATGCCTTGAGGAAGCTACAGCCTGCTATATTTAGACTGTTCTCTTCTCATCCTCCTCCCCAGGCCTATTGACTTCTCTGATCAAACTAATAATGATGATGCAGATGGGATGATTAAAATCCTCATTTACATAAGATTATATTAATTTGATCACTGGCTGTTTATTTTCATCCAATGATATACAGAGGCTGTAAGAGATAGGAGACAGGGCCTGTTGTCATTATTATGAGAGGCCCTGTGAGACAATACTGAGCCTATTTCTACTATGGTGATCTTGGGTGGGTTATACTGTAGCATGTCTTTTTGGTTTAGTTTTACACATACAGTCAGTCAGTGAGACTCAGGTGAGCGAGAGACAAACACCTGATACGGAGACCCGCGACAGAACATACATTTTTCAGTCGAGCTAAATTCTCTGTTGCACAGTCAGACAGCCTCCCGTTTCCAACCACGATAACTCTGATGTGTTACGTTACAGCGATCAGTCCCTTACCCACCTGTTGTTTCACAAATTATTATTATGTAAAATAAAAATAAAAATAAATAAAAAACGTTATGTATCGTTCTTTCTCACATCTGGCATAATGAGGCTTTGATTAGACACATTTGTAAATTTCTCAATTTCAGTCCAGATAATGTTTTCTAAAGTAACATCTGATGGCTTCTCTCCATATGTTGACAATAAAGACACTGTTTCACTGAGTCAAATGCCTTGTTGTCATCAATGGCTTCTCTCCAGTAAAGCAGTTGCCATATGTTGACAATGGAGACACTGTTTCACATGTGTTGTCAGTCAGATGCAATGGTGTAAAGTACTTAAGTAAAATTACTTTAAAGTACTACTTAAGTATTTTGGGGGGGGTATCTGTACTTTACTATTTATATTTGTGACAACTTTTACTCCACTACATTCCTAAAGAAAATATGTATATTTTACTCCCATACCTTTTCCCTGACAACCAAAAGTAGTCGTTACATTTCAAATGCTCAGGCAGGACAGCAATATGGTTGTCATCCCTACTGCCTCTGATCTGGCAGTCTCACTAAACAAAAATACTGTGTTTATTAACTGTCTGAGTGTTGGAGTGTGCCCCTGTCTGTTTGTAAATTTGCTTAATATAATACATTTTATTTAAAGCATTTACTTTTACTCAAGTATGAAAAAGGAGTACCTTTTTTTTACCACTGTACTGAAGTACATTTAAAACCAGATACTTATAGACTTTTACTCAAGTAGTATTTTACTGGGTGACTGACTTTTACTTGAGTTATTTTCTATTAAGGTATCTTTACTTTCACTCAAGTATGACAATTAAGTACTTTTTCCACCACTGGTCAAATGTAACTTGGTAAGAGTCTAATATAATGTAAAATTCAAGCTGCACAGAAATGCAAGAACATGATTTCTTAACTTCATTACAATACTGTAAAACAAAATGCAGAGCATGACAGAACCAAGCATGACAGAACATGAACTATTGCAAAGAAGTTTGGGGGTAATGAGCTGATTGGGTCGCCATCTAGTGTTGGGAGTAGGGAAATGCAATCTAAACTGGGGAGTTGTGGCTTTCTCAAGGCAGCACTATGTTTTGGGCTTACAGTCTGTTGTGTAAGTGCTTTTGTATCTGTGGGAGAACAGCATTGCCAGGGTCCTCTCGGGCCCTATACCGCCATTCCAGCAACAACTGTGTTTTTGATACCGTTGGAAATATACACATGTCAACAACAACAACAGAGGTCCAACCAAAGCCGGCGTCCATGACACTTCTACTGTACGATGACGACAAACAAAACAAAAATCAGCATAGTTCTTTCAACATCTGTATTTCCTGTAATGTAAAGCTCCATTTTATTCTCTAATTTGTAAAAGTCAGGTTTAGAGTTGTGGGTTGTGTAGTATTTGAGAAGTTTTAGGACACCCTCACACAGTCCCCAAGACACTCAGTACGATTAGACAGAAAAAGTGCAATTACCTTAGTTGACCTGGTCAATTCTCTAGGACTGTCGCCGTTTCTCATCCAGAGCTTCACTCTCTAGATACAATATTTCTTAAATTGTTTGTGTTGTATTTATATTTGCATCAAAAGATACCCCTTCAAATTGTGATTTTATGCAACTAACACTATCAGTATCCAATTCCAGACATGAGCTATTTGAGCTTTCTCCATGGAAACCAATTCCACTGTCTTTTCTTCTGTACGTGACTTTCTCACACTGTCCTAGTTATTGTCAGAGGCAAGAGTGTTTGAGAGGGCTAGACTTAATACAGTGAGGCCAGCATTCAAACTGCACTGCACTGCGCTTGACATTTAAAGGTAATTTACGCTTCAGTTGTCATCTATAGTTCTACCCCTATAAGATATTCAGCCAGCTTTTATCACCACTGCTTTTACCTGATGAATACAATGGATCCAAATGATCAATGCTTTTATTGTATTCAGATAAATATTCAAATGTACATTATTGATAAATTAATTTAAATTATTGATTTTTGATTATGTATAACTGGCTCCTATAATTGTCTTTTTGATAGAAGAGACTTGTTGATATTGACCCTTCATGGTTCTTTACATTTTTTACATTAAGACATTTACGGACAGGGCTTTGCTTAGCTACATGATGAGAACAGTTTTTATTGCTAAGCTCTATAATAATGTGGTAATGTTATTGTGGTAATGTGGTACGGTCTCAAAATTCCGGCAACTTTACCCTAAAATTCCCAGGTTTTCCAGATGTCACGGTTGAAAGATTCCACCTCATAATAATAATAACCCTCATTGTGATGAGAAAGTGTTACTTGCATAAAACCACAGTGCTTTACTACTGACTCGACTTGAACATACAAGACTGTTTCCCTCCTTCAAATATCATTCTACAAGTTTGTCTGTGAGTTTACCTATGAATAGTAACTGTAAAGAATTATAAAATAAAAAAGTACTTATGTTTTTGAAAATAAATATTGATGTGTTTTCATTTGTTTAATTCCCCATGTCTGAACAAAGTATGTAGAATGAAAAACCAACCAAATAAAAATGAAAACCTAATTGTCTTATTTAGTTTTAGCTACTGGACATGCTTATACTTTCATTGTCACCAACAGTTTTACACTACTATAAGGAGAAATAGAAAATACAATGTTGAGCATTTGAAATGTACACCAATGAAGTTTAATAGATAGTGGCTTACGAAAGTATTCACCCCCTTGGCATTTTTCCTATTTTGTTGCCTTACAACCTGGAATTAAAATGGATTCTTTGGGGGTTTGTATCATTTGATTTATACAACATGCCTACCACTTTGAAGATACAAAATATTTTTTATTATGAAACTGTTTGGAGAGCTCCTTGGTCTTCATGGTGCCGCTTGCTTGGTGGTGCCCATTTCTTAGTGGTGTTGCAGACTCTGGGGCCTTTCAGAACAGGTGTATATATACTGAGATCATGTGACAGATCATCTGACACTTAGATTGCACACAGGTGGACTTTATTTAACTAATTATGTGACTTCTGAAGGTAATTGGTTGCACCAGATCTTATTTAGGGGCTTCATAGCAAAGGGGGTGAATACATATGCACGCACCACTTTTCCGTTTTTTATTTTTTAGAATTGTTTGAAACAAGTTATTTTTTTCATTTCACTTCACTAATTTGGACTATTTTGTGTATGTCCATTACATGAAATCCAAATAAAAATCAATTTAAATTACAGATTGTAATGCAACAAAATAGGAAAAACGGCAAGGGGGATGAATACTTTTGCTAGGCACTGTAAATCCACATTATTTAAATGTGGGACTGTCTGTAGAAATTGCAAGCAAAAAAGTTGAATGGCATCAGTGGGTATGTGCTTATCATAACAAACGATACATACAGCACAGTATGTAAGAAACAACACCATAAATGACTGTTCACAATACACTGAGTATACAAAACATTGGGAACACCTTCCCAATATTTAGTTGTACCCCCTTTTGCCCTCAGAACAGCCTCAATTGTCAGGGCATGGACTCTCAACTTTGACTCAGAGCATTTTCTTAAAAACTGCATTGTTGGTTAAGGGCTTGTAAGTAAGCATTTCACCGTAAGGTCTACACCTGTTGTATTCGGCGCATGTGGCAAATAACATTTGATTTGATTTGATGTTGTATTGTGGTCCTCTGTAGCTCAGCTGGTAGAGCACGGCGCTTGTAACGCCAAGGTAGTGAGTTCGATCCCCGGGACCACCCATACACAAAAAATATATGCACACATGACTGTAAGTCGCTTTGGATAAAAGCGTCTGCTAAATGGCATATTATATTATATTATTATTATTCTGTATGTAAATCTAAGACATACTCTATTTAGTATGATATGTTACATTTCGTATGGTATGCATTAATTTGTGGATGTCCCATTTTGTATGATATGTTACGAATTATAATTTGTATTATATGTTACGAATTTGCTAAATGTACAATATGTTACAAATTTGCAAAACGTACAATATGTTTTGTATTTGAAAAACGTATGATATGTTACGAATTCTATCTAGGTGCTAACGTTAGCTAGGCTAGGGGTTAGGGTTAAGTTTAGGAGTTGGGTTAGGAGAAGGGTTAGCTAAAAGGGTTAAGGTTAGGGGAAGGGTTGGCTAACATGCTAAGTAGTTGCAAAGTAGCTAAAAAATAGTAAGTAGTTGGAAAGTTGCTAAAATGCTAAAGTAGTGCGATTCGAACTAGCAATCTTTGGGTTGCTAGAGGTTTGTGTTATACATCCACCCCGACCAACCACCCTACTTTCGTTTTTGCCTTAAGTAACCATCTGTCTTATGTAACCATAGCAAACGTAACGTATCATACTAAATGGAGTGTTTCATATTTATGTACAGAATAATACGAAATGCTCTGAGACCAGGTTGGGATTCTACAAGGGGTCGAAAGCATTCTACAGGGATGCTGGCCCATGTTGACTCCAATGCTTCCCACAGTTGTGTTAAGTTGGCTGGATGTCCTTTGGGTGGTGGTTTATTCTTGATACACAGGGGAAACTGTTGAGTGTGAAAAACCCAGCAGCGTTGCAGTTCTTGACACAAACCGGTGCGCCTGGCACCTACTACCATACCCCGTTCAAAGGCACTTCAATCTTTTGAAGTGCCTTTGAATGGCACACATACATAATCCATGCCTCAATTGTCTCAAGGCTTAACAATCCTTATTTAACCTGTCTCTTCCCCTTCATCTGCACTGATTGAAGTGGATTTAACAAGTGACATCAATAAGGGATCATAGCTTTCACCTGGATTCACCAGGTCAGTCTGTCATGGAAAGAGCAGGTGTTCCTAATGTTTTGTAAACTCAGTGTATATCAGACTATATAGCTATCCCCCCTCCTCATTCCCTTCCCCTCTCTCCCCCCACCTATCTCCCCCTCCTTCCTCTCTCAGACAGCCACACTGTTTGGGATGCGGTCAGGAGAGAAGTAGTAGTAGGGTAGTTTCTTGCCTTCGTTGCGAATTTTGATGGCACTGCTGACCTCTGCCAGTCTCTTCCTGAACGACTCCATGGCCTCCTTCACCGGCTTCTCTATGAAGTGCTCATCTGGGTACATCCCCAGGAACAGCTGAAAGAGAGAGGACACACAGGGATTGGAGGGATTTCTTTATTATTTAGAATAAAAGCAGACAAACACCACATGTGTTTATAGATGCGTATGCATGTGGTGTGTGTACCTCGTTCTCCTGAAACTGACTGAGGGCCCAGACGGCCCCTAGGTGCCAGCAGGACCGGCCGCGGTCAGGGAGACTCTGGATGATGAACTTCACATCTACCACCCCCTTCTGTCTGGGAGGGGGCTTACGCATGGTGGGGGGCGCATTGGGGATCCAAGAGCACCAGTCATACTGAAATACACAGAGTAGACAGACATTAACATCTAAGGGAAGATACAGTGCATTCAGAAAGTATTAAGACCCCTTCCCTTTTTCCACATTTTGTTACGTTACAGCCTTATTCTAAATTTGATGAAATAACACATTTTACTCATCAATACACACAATACCCTATAATGACAAAGCGAAAAAGGTGTTTGAATTATTTTAGCAAATGTATTACAAATAAAAAACAGAAATACCTTATTTACATACGTTTTCAGACCCTTTGTTATTTTTACAACTTGATTGGAGTCCACTTATGGTAATTCAATTTATTGGACATGATTTGGAAAGGCACACTCCTGTCTATATAAGGTCCCACAGTTGACAATGCATGTAAGAGCAAAAATCAAGCCATGAAGTCGAAGGAATTGTCCGTAAAGCTCAACAGGATTGTGTCGAGGCACAGATCTGGGGATGGGTACCAAAAAATGTCTGCAGCATTGAAGGTCCCCAAGAACACAGTGGCCTCTATCATTCTTAAATGGAAGAAGTTTGGAACCACCAATACTCTTCCTAGAGCTGGCTGCCTGTCCAAACTGAGCAATCGGGGGAGGAAGGTCTTAGTCAGGGAGGTGACCAAGAACCCGATTGTCACACTGACAAAGCTCCAGAGTTCCTCTGTGGAGACGGGAGAACCTTCCAGAAGGACAACCATCTCTGCAACACTCCACCAATGCACATGACAGCCCACTTGGAGTTTGCCAAAAGGCACCTAAAGGACTCTCAGACCATGAGAAATAAGATTCTCTGGTCTGATGAAATCAAGATTGAACTCTTTGACCTGAATGCCAAGTGTCACGTCTGGAGAAAATCTGGCACCATCCCTGAAGCATAGTGGTGGCAGCATCACGCTGTGGGGATGTTTTTCAGCGGCAGGGACTGGGAGACTAGTCAGGATAGAGGGAAAGATGAACGGAGCAAGGTACAGAGAGATCCTTGATGAAACCTGCTCCAGAGCGCTCAGGACCTCAGACTGGGGCGAAGGTTCACCTTCCAACAGGACAACGACCCTAAGCACACAGCAAAGACAACGCAGGAGTGGCTTTGGGACAAGTCTCTGAATGTCCTTGAGTGGCCCAGCCAGAGCCCGGACTTGAACCCGATCTAACATCTCTGAAGAGACCTGAAAATAGCTGTGCAGCAACGCTCCCCATTCAACCTGACAGAGCTTGAGAGGATCTGCAGAGAAGAATGGGAGAATCTCCCCAAATACAGGTGTGCCAAGCTTGTAGCGTCATACCCAAGAAGACCCGAGGCTGTAATCGCTGCCAAAGGTGCTTCAACAAAGTACTGAGTAAAGGGTCTGAATACTTATGTAAATGTGATATTTCATTTTATTTATTTTTTACATTTGTTAAAATTTCTAAAAACCTGTTTTTGCTTTGTCATTATGCAGTATTGTGTGTAGATTGATGAGGGAAATTTTTTATTTAATCCATTTTAGAATAAGGCTGTAACGTAACAAAATGTGGAAAAAGTTGAGGGTTCTGAATACTTTCTGAATGCACTGTAGCTGGTGCTCTTGTCTGCAAGCATTGACCAAGCTTATCTACAGTAATGTTGACCAACTGTCCCAAGCCTACCTGACTATATAGCCTACCTGAGCAAATAAATAATAATAATAAATAAATAACAAATCTTACCTTTCCAAAGCCTACCTGACCAAGTCTTACCTGTCCAAAGCCTACCTTTATGAAATCTAACCAAGGCCTAGATTCGATCAGATCAAGCGTAGCAGACACCCACATAGCGGATGTTTTGGGGATGTTTGAGGTGGAACTGCATTGGAGACGTCAAATCGGTGAACAGTTGCTCTTACGATCATTGTCACGAAACCACACCCGCCCGACTCGCATTAATAGTTCAGAACGAGAAAGTGTAGGCTACATAGACATAATTATACTCATATTGAAAAATCATTAAACAAAATAATGAGGATTTCTATCAACTTAATCGAGGTGTAGATTAAATCTCTGATTCTAGTGTTCGAACTTGCAAACAAGGCTGCATGGGATTTCTGCTAATGCGACTCAGCGCAGCCAAAGACAATGTCCGTTTCATAATGCCTGGAGCCACTTGTGGAGTTGACAGCTCCAACGCAGTTCCACCGCAGACACCACCAAAACAACTGCTATGCGAATGTTTGCTAAAGCGGATCTGATCAAATCGAGCCCCCAGTCGTACCTGTCCAAAGTTGACAGCAGCGTGGTGTGCAGAGGCAGTGAAGATGATGACAGTCAGGTACTCTGTGAGCTCCTCGCGTGTCTTCAGGGACTTGGGAAACCCTGCAGAAAGGTTTTTTGGCGCAACACATTTGTTTCACCATGGAGTCACTAAGGTCAGTCCCTAGACACACAGTGTCATGCAATCACATACTACGGTATTGCTTAGCAATGCACAACACCAGTCTATGAAGGCTCCATCTCCTGCTGGTTTTGAATCCCCTGGCAATTCATGTTGACTGGGCCAGAGGTTTATATACACCTGGTTACCCAGGTATACAGTAGTTCTGTCAGATGTAAACCAGCAGAGTGGCCCTCGAAGAGTGGAGTTGTGGCCCCTACCAGACTGAGTTCCTTGCTCGCACACCACTGTTCCATTTCCATTTACATCATTTTAGCAGACGCTCTTATCCAGAGCGACTTACAGTTAGTGAGTGCATACATTTTCCACAGCAACAGACAAGCACAGAGGCTTTTGGCCAACTTAAAAGTGAAGTGCATATCCGCATAGCTAAATATTCATGGTCAGCTATGTCTTTCAACACAGTCCAGAGAAATAAGTGTGTCTTTGTATTGCAGATAACAAAAACAGCATTTTAAAGCAGGCTATGCCATTGTAGTGTTTGTTGATTATAATGTTGCATGTGTTTGTACCCACCACAGCAGTCAAGGTCCTGCATCCCAAAGCTGCAGACATCTTTAACAAACGCCTGGATCTCCTCATCCTTCTGTACTGTGTCATCACTGTCGTAGTAGATACACACCACGTCCCACACAAAACTAGGGAAACGGCAAATCAAATTTAGGGTTAGGGTAATGGCTAGGGTTAGGGTTGATCCGGGGTGGGGACATACTGTATGCTAGGGTTAGGGTAATGGCTAGGGCTTTAGGGTTATGGCTTCAGGGGTGGGTTGAGCCGGGGTGTGGACATGAAGCTAGGGTTAGGGTTAGCCACCTCATGGCCATTTCATGGCATCTTGTCCTGGTGATTGGCCTGGTTCTCCTCCTATAAATGTGTCAAGAAGGACACACACACAGACCCCCCCCCCCCCCCCCCCCCCCACACACACACACATCCACACCCCTATGACCTCTGACCTCTTGGTGACATCCCAGACCCTGTTCCCGTCATCTCTGTAGTAGTAGTAGGGTAGGTCCTCAGGGCTGTCCACCCCGCGGGCCTTAATGGCATCAGGGAAACACAGAGACCTGAAGGTCAGTGACCTCATAGCCTTCTGGAGCATCTCTACATGACCTCCACCTCCTGTACCGTTCGCCTGGGGAGAGACAGTACACATTAGCTCTCTATGTCTACGTCTTTAGCCCCATTTATACCTGGTGCTAACATGCGTCCTTTGTCCTGATCGTGTCCACATTCTGATTGTGCCCACATTTTTAGACAGGTTTAGACGATTAAAAGACGTATTGTGATCTGATCTGATTGTGATCAGATCTTCCTGACCACCTCCGGAAGTAATCAGGCACACATTGTGTCTGGAGATCTTACAAGTGTAGACAGATCTGGACAGCAAACCATTTCAATCATAATAATCCCGCCCTCTAAAATTATTGACAGGTGGCACCATTTACTTATAGCATCAATAATTGTCTAGTAATAAATAAATATTTATTTCTAAAGAATATTGGTCAAATAATTTCCATACAGGAAGGGACTAGGAAATCTGGTCACAATGCAGATACAGTGGATGGATAAGAAACATTTTAAAACCATGTGTAGACACGACAAACCTTGATCTGATAGTGATTGGATCATATTGATCAGATCACGAAACCCACATGTTAGGGCAAGGTGTAAATGAGGCTTCTGTCTCTAGCCCCGTTTATTTATACCTGGTGCTAATTTTGGTTAACCCAGAACTAAAGTATTGCGTAATTGGTCAGATGCTCAATTAAGTTCTGGGTCCATGTTAAGAGAAGAGATGAAGAGATGCTAGAACGAGGAGCGGAACCAGAACGAGGAGCTCCACCCTCTCTCTTTGCAAGTTACGGACACGTGTATGTTTTGTTCAAATAACCAGTGACGAAAAACCCAAACACCGGAACTATTACTGCACGTTAACAATCGGTGCTCATAGTATAAAGACTAAGGTTGCAAAGCTGCTGGTAATTTCCAAAGTTACTGGAATCTTCTGTAATTTTTGTAATTAACAGGTAATCTATGGTAATTTTGGTCATTTACACTTGAATAAGTTTTAAAAAATGTATTCATATATAATATTTATTTTTTATGTGTCTATATTGTCCATGAGTTTCTTGTGACTAGACCATATAGTTCAAGAGAAAATAGCCTAATGAATGAAAAAAGCATCTAATCAACAAAGGCATTTTATACAACTATGCAACTCTTCCAACTATTTACTTTTCCACAACTGCCCCCAGTTTGGTGCCAAAACATTTACAACAAAGACATAGATATAGTAAAATAAATAAGTGTGTAAAAAAATTAATATATAAAGGATATTTCATGTTGAAACCCTCATATTAAACACCAATGTTATTCACAAGTTTATATTTAGGATAATGTTTTACAGCTTTGTCATTTAATGTTTTATTTTTAAATCATCTTATTTGATTATGTTATTTATTTTACATGCGATAATTAGACACCTGTGATAAACTGAAGTACCCAAAAGGGCCACTTGATGTCTTGGGATAAATTACATAAAATATTTGAGAGTTACAAAAATTCTGGTAATTTACTGGTAAACTTTTAAAGTTTCCAATAATATACCTTCCCAACCCTGATAAAAACAGATCTACTGTACCATTTATGTTTACGTAGTCTGTTCACGAGATTAACCTGGTGCTAACATGTGTAAACACAGCCATTGTGTCTGGATATCTTAAAAGTGTAGACAGATTTGGACAACAAACTATGTAAATCATAATAATCCCATCCTCTAAAATCATTGACAGGTGGCACCATTGATTTATAGCATCAATATGTGTATTAAAATAAATGCATAAATATTATTTTGAAAGAATCTGTCAAATATACTGAACACAAATATCAACACAACATGTAAAGTGTTGGTCCCATTTTTCATGAGCTGAAATAAAAAATCCCAGAAATTTTCCATATGCACAAAAAGCTTATTTCTCTCAAATTTTGTACACAAATTAGTTTGCATCCCTGTTAGTAAGCATTTCTCCTTTGCCAAGATAATCCATCCACCTGACAGGTGTGGCATATCAAGAAGCTGATTAAACAGCATGATCATTACACAGGTGCACCTTGTGCTGGGGACAATAAAAGGCCACTCTAAAATGTGCAGTTTTGTCGCACAACACAATGCCACAGATGTCTCAAGTTTTGAAGGAGCGTGCAATTTGCAAGCTGACTGTAGGAATGTCCACCAGAGCTGTTGCCAGAGAATCTAATGTTAATTTCTCTACCATAAGCCGCCTCCAACGTCATTTTAGAGAATTTGGCAGTACGTCCAACCGGCCTCACAACCACAGACCCTGTGTAACCACGCCAGACCAGGAATCCACATCCGGCTTCTTCATCTGCGGGATTGTCTGAGACCAGCCACCCGGACAGCTGATGAGACTGTGGATTTGCACAACCAAATCATTTATGCACAAACTGTAAGAAACCGTCTCAGGGAAACTCATCTGCGTGCCCTTCATGGATGAATCACGGTTTCAACTGTACCGGGCAGATGGCAGACAGCGTGTGTGGTGTCGTGTGTGTGAGCGGTTTGCTGATGTCAACATTGTGAACAGAGTGCCCCATGGTGGTGGTGGAGTTATGGTATGGAAAGGCATAAGCTATGGACAACAAACACAATTGCATTTTATCAATGGCAATTTGAATGCACAGAGACACCGTGACGAGATCCTGAGGCCCATTGTCGTGTCATTCATCCACCGTCATCTCCTCATGTTTCAACATGATAATGCACAGCCCCATGTCGCAAGGATCTGTACACAATTCCTGGAAGCCAAAAATGTGCCAGTTCTTTAATGGCCTGCATACTCACTAGACATGTCATGTTTGGGATGCTCTGGTTCGACGTGTACGACAGCGACTTCGTACAGCCATTGAAGAGGAGTGGGACAACGTTCCACAGGCCACAATCAACAGCCTGATCAACTCTATGCGAAGGAGATGTGTCGCGCTGCATGAGGCAAATGGTGGTCACACCAGATACTGACTAGTTTTCTGATCCATGCCCCTACTTTTTTTTTAAAAGGTATCTGTGACCAAGGTATCTGTAACCAAGGTATCTGTGACCAATTCCCAGTCATGTGAAATCCATAGATTAGGGCCTAGTGAATTTATTTCAATTGACTGACTTCCTTTTATGAACTCAGTAAAATCTTTGAAATTGTTGCGTGTATATTTTTGTTCAGTGTAATTTGCATACAGGGAGGGACCAGGAAATCTAGTCACAATGAAGACAGATAAGAGACATATTTTAGTACCATGTGTAGATGCACGTCTAAATATGTCTCAATGTCTCTCTCTCACACACTGTCACACATTATGTCACACACTCTCTCACTCTCTCACACACTCTCTCACACACTCACCTTATCGAAGATGCCAAACTCACAGATGAGCTGCTCTCTGGCCTTGGTGTTGATGGCAATGGTGAAACGAATGTGAGGAAGGAGCAACTAGAGGACAGACCATCAATAAATAAATAAACAAACAAACCGATCAACCAACCATCTAACTAACCAATCCATGAATCAACTAATCAACCACATTAGTAGGCACAAAACACAGGCACGGACTGAAGTGTACTCGGTGTACCTTATAAGCAGGGTGTACAGCAGGCAGCTGTCTGAACATGGCCACTCCAAACACCTCAGAGACCAGGTGAGTCCTCAGCAGGTGTGTGACTGTCTGATGGATGTGGAAGTCAGAGGAGCGGACCCAGATCTTAGCTAGCATCCAGTCATACTGACCATCACTGGGCAGGAAGATAGGGTTGTCCTCCCCTGGAGTCTGACCCAGCTGGGAGAGAGAGAGGAGGAGGAGTATGTTTCGTTAGATGGTGAAGAAACAATGCGCCATGCTGTTTTTCTAACCATGCAGAATAGCCTACCTGTATGGCCAGAGGCAGGATCTTGCTCTGGCTGTTGTTGTACAGCAAACAGATAGGAGCAGCCAGGTACTGTAGAGTACAGGGGTCTGTACTGTTGGGACTGATGTCTTCCATCAACTCATAGTCTGCTATGTAGATGTTACCAGCCTGCAAACAACATGTAATACAAGGGGTGAATGTCTTACAATAAGAGCCTGTAAACCTTGGAGTCGGTCTGTCTTTCTGCATGTCTTGTCTGTTTCTGTGTACAATAGGTCACATATTCTGTGAGTGGATGTGATGTGTGCATGCATGTGTATAAGCTTGCATAAATGCGTGCATGTGACATGTGCATATGTATGTCTCAGTCTGTACCTCGATCTCCTCCTCCAGAGTCATCTCTCTCTCCAGACAGTCTGCCACCATGTCGTGTGTAACGGGGAACTTCTCTGGCAGCTTGGTGCACTTCTGGATCATCACTGGGTTACAGCCATTCAGGTACTGGTAGCCAAACATAAAATCCTCTTTCCAGTGCTCCATCACATACTCTAGGATAAGAATAGGGTAAAGGAGAGGAGAGGATTAGTATTTTACTAGGATCCGGATTAGCTACTGCTAAAGCAGCAGCTACTCAAAGCGGAGAAGAGTGAGGAGACCGATACCACTTTCTATGGAGAAAACTGAGACCACACACCTGAGATGGTGTTTTTGATCCTGACGAAGATCCGCTCAAAGTCAGCAAAGTCATTCCAGGAGGACTGGAACATGTGCATGAACTGGTTCACACACAGGTTCTCTATGCTGGGGAGGAGAGAACAACATCATCAAGCTGCAGGGAAAGATTTCAGTAGCCTGATCCACCATCCTGACCGCTGCAATACCATGTAGAGAAACAGAATGTCATTTTGTGAGATCAGGATGGTCGAACGAGGCTAAGATTTATGTCCAGAGTTATTTTCTTCCAATTTAACTGTATTCACCCAACAAAAAACGACTGGATTCAGAAAATGTCAGTCACTGACTTACTGACAACCAGGAGTTGATGACAGATGTATGTTTACGACACATGTATTACACATTAATTATACACTTATCCATGTTATTTTCAATCATTAGCAGCATTGAATGAATTGGATGAAGAAAATAGTTTCTGCTTCCCTTCCGGTCTATGATTCGCACACACGTGTGCAGTACTTTGGCAGTGCTCAACACTTGGGATGCTAAGGATGTTGCTGCTAACCTCCTGGTGAGTAAAGTCTGCTAGTCATTGGTACATTGATACTGTCAATGAAGGTTATTATGCTTTAAATCTAATTCTATCCATTACCAGTCTGGTAATGCTACATCAAGCCAGCAATGCCTGAATAGCATAATGTACTGCATAATAGTTTATACCCTGTGCTCTCTGCAGATGAGCTGTTATCAACGAAAATTCAGCTGCACAAACAAGCCACAAGTAAGCAGCAGTAACACAGTCATGACACCAACACTTCTATTAATACACGTCAGAAAAGTGTCCTGCTAACCCCAGCCACTTCCTCTAGTTCCTCATCAATACATCACAAGTCTATCTTAGATGGTTGTTGTTGGTAATGAGGGCTACTATCCCATAACTGAACAACTACAGAGCAAAGACACACAACCCGTCTGGAAGGTTTTTATCCCTCGTAAGCAATCAAAACAAAAGTTGGACATCATCATCACCCATATTCACCACAGGAATTATTTCCTAATGTCTTTATGTAGATAAAAAGCATACTAGTACGCTGATAGGTTTGAACCAAAGTATTTGTCAGAGCACACAGCCAGTCTCATTGAGACAATATGTGTATGTGTTTAGCCTGTTGGTATGAAGGATACATGCAAATGTCCCTGGTTACTCATACAATGACTCTCCTGATCCACAGGCTTTCACACAGAGCTTTAAAACAGGCTCCCTTTTAGTCACGTCCACATACTACTCACCACCCACCCACCTACTGAACCAACAGCTTACTTCTGTGTCCCATTTAGCTTTTATTCAAACCAGGAAGTCCCGACATTTAGAAAACACCATCACTGCAATAAACAAATACTGACCCCAATGAACTGAAAATCCCCTACTATGACAAGTATGGACATCTCCACATTAGAAAGAGGCCTACTGTAGGTTTAGCACTGTATGAGTGTAAAAATTAAACAGAGTATAAGACTAGATGGACAATGTTGCAAATAAGGGGAAACAGTTGCAGCAGAGTGTAGTGACAGGACAATGACACTCCTCTGCCATAAAACCCCAGACCTCTTGGCAGAGTCTGCAGTGCATATAAAAAATAAAGGGTGTCTACACTAGGTTACAGAGTGTAGTGTGAATGCAGTACTTACGCCTTACTGTAGTTGAGTATGAAGTCGACTCCTTTCTCACTGTCAAACTGGATGTCTCTGGGAAGCTCTTTGTGAGTGTTGGCATCTATACTCATAGGAATCCCAGGCTGCCACTCCCTCCATCTACACACAGGAGGACATCACAGAATCAGGTTCAGCACTACTGAATTAGGACTCCACTACGTAACACTGTGTGCAGGTCTTTTAATGTTAGTAGGCTACACTATATGTCATTTCAGTGCATTGACTACTAGAAAAACATTTAGTAGTTCAATACATTTATTTGTTGAATGCATCTTGGTATAAAATCAATATGTCATTGTTATGTAGATGTGTGTTACACAATAAACCCAGCTCTTGCCTGTAGATTTTCCTTCTGCTCTCCAGCTCTTTGTGTCGGTGTTGCTTCACCAGTCTGGTCTTGTCATCCTTTGGCAGCCGTGCTTGAAAAAAAGGGGAACAACGATACTGAGGATGATTTTAGATTTACTTCTGTGTTCCTTAAGCTAAAGAGTGGGGACAGTTTGAAAGACATGAGCGACCGACAGACGGACCTGACCGACAGACATTAACGACTGACAGACCTGACAGACAGACACGACCGACAGACAGACACGACTGGCAGACAGACAGACACAGACCCGACCCACAGACAGGTACCTTTGCCGTCCCTGAGGACCACCTCCTTGTCGTCCACCAGCCAGCGGAAGCAGGGGAACTCTACGTAGTCTCCAAAGGGAGTCTTCACTGTGATGTACTTACAGTACCAGTCATCATGAACCCAGTACTTCTTCTTCTCTATCTTCACCAGCTCCATCTCTCCCAGGTTCTCCCCCACCGTCACATCATACGAGTCCACCTGAGAACAGACAACCAGGTTTAGAGAGATTTGAGCAAAGTGGACAAAATGGGCCCAGATTAAGCCTAACCTGAGGACGGACTATGGTCGTTACAAATTTGTCATTGTTACATAAAGTGCATTTTTTATCAATGACTTATACCGAACAAGGTTTTGTGTTTGTTTGGCTGCCCATTAGCTGTTCCTTTTGCACCGGATACTCTTTCTGCAGTCCAGACACAATAGCCAAAAACAGCAAGAAAGAGACAGCATGAGGTTAGTAGCAGCTCATGAGTCACTGATGGTTGGTGCAATATACAGCCACTTGCATCCTGAACTAAAGAGTACAACTGGATGTAGTGTACAAGATACAGACACTGGTGAATATTTCTTTTTGCAATTGTACCCCCTTTTTCTCCCCAACTTCGTGATATCCAATTGCGATCTTGTCTCATCGCTTCAACTCCCCAACGGGCTCTGGAGAGGTGAAGGTCGAGTCATACGTCCTCCGAAACATGACCCGCCTAGCCGAGCTGTTTCTTAACACCCGCTCGCTTAACCCAGAAGCCAGCTGCACCAATGTGTCGGAGGAAACACCGTTCAACTAACGACCGAAGTCAGCTTCCAGGCGCCCGGCCCACCTCAAGGAATCGCTAGAGTGCAATGAGCCAAGTAAAGTCCCCCCGGCCAAACCCTCCCCTAACCCGGACGACGCTGGGCCAATTGTGCGCCGCCCTATGGGACTCCCGGTCACAGCCAGTTGTGACACAGCCTGGGATTGAACCCCAGGATGTAGTGACGCTGCAACACTGCGATGCAGTGCCTTAGACCGTTGCGCCACTAGGGAAGCTTTTGTATTGATTTTCCATGTGTTGTTCAAGGGTCATAAGGTCATGAGCAGGTCACTCATCAGTTACTGGCTGTAATAGAGGTTTAGCAATAGGCCTTATGTTATTATTTTGATTCATTTGAGTAAAAGCACAGAGAAATACACTCATTCACAGAAACGGAGTTGGCGGTGATGGCACCAATAGGGCTCACTCTGCACTGGAGTGTAGCCTCTTTATCTGGTACAGTACTTGGTAGTGGATAAGGAACGTTTCTTCAAGACAATGTAAAGTGATTTGAGCACCTGGAAAATAGTTTTATGGAAACCAAGCCATTGTATTTCCAAGTGAAAACCAGGTAACAAGCACTCTATGAATGGTTCTTATCGCATGCCTGAGTATCACAGTCCCTCAAATAGTAGTATTGAGAGCAATGACCATTTATTTCATCTTTATGCTATGGATTACTCCCTTTAGCTCATATTGCAGCACAGTTTCAAGCTCAGTTGGTAGAGCATGGCGCTTGCAACACCAGGGTTGTGGGTTCAATTCCCACGGGGGGCCAGTATAAAAAAAAATATATATATATATGCACTCTAACTGTAAGTCGCTCTGGATAAGAGCGTCTGCTAAATGACTAAAATGTAAATGTAGGGGAATAGAGGGACTGGGGTTGATCCTGCAACACAGGGAGATCTTACACCAGGGAACAGTAAAATACAAAATAATTTATTTGTACATTTGTTAAGGAACCATGTGCAGTTATTAGCAGGGTGCATTGCCCAACATGTTAGTCAAATTTGTCAGTCCTTAATTACGTAAAAATAATGAAAAAATGACATAGAATAATACAATGTTGGTGTAATAAATATGAATATGTCCAAAAGGCATGTAAAATGTTATTGTTAAACTACAATGTAAGTTCATTCACCCAGACCGAGGTCTTGTGAGGGCTTCCAGAGGGAGATATCTTGTGGTCTAACAAGTATGCAATTGTCGACACAAACTAGTAATCAGTCCAATTATAGTGCATAATTGGAGTTGAGTCTTCAGGACAGATACCAGAGGAAGTGTGCATTCTATTAAGCATTGACTTAATAGTTATAATTGATGGGAAGTGTGCATGTGCACAATTGGGGGAAGGGTGAAGAATCAGGATGCAGCCAGAGTTTCAAATCTGATAAAGACAATTATTGGAAATATTTTCTCTAACAAGGTCACCTCTGAGTGTATTTTAAGTAATGCACACACTGTGAAACTTTTAAACTGACTCTTGCCACTGTAACTCAACTCACCGCCCCTCTCTCGAAGTCGTTGTAGAGTGGTTTGTCCAGTAAAGTCCTCTCACTGCATCCCTCTGTTCCCACCAGGGTGATATAGATGTAGTCATCAGTCCCTGCAAACCACTGGCTTCCTGTAGCCACCGTCACTGTGTAGGATGGCATGGTGGTACACACACACACAGGATGGACAGGAGAATTGATATCCACTGGTTAAGTCTGCAGGCAGATATGATAGCCTCCTACAAGTGTGTTGGTCGTTCACTAAGAGAGTCTGGACCAAATTTGATTTCCCCTTTTTGCTAATGAATTTACGTAGACCCTCTTAAACTCTCTCTCTTTCTAGATCTCCTACTCTCGGTCTCTCTCTCGCTTACTCTTTCTCCCTCCCTTTCTCCTTCCCTCTCTAGCGCTCTCTTTCATAAACACCCCCTTAAGTACTGACACCACACATGTAATGCAAATGCATTTAAACAACTAGCTAGAGGCGGCAGATGCATTCGATAATGTTTCACACTGGCTGGTGTACTGTTTGAGTGTTTAACCCCACCTCCTTATTACGCATGAAGGAATGGCCAGATCTCTCCCTCTCTCTCTTTCACTCTCTCAATGTTTATGACAATACGAATATACAGTGCCTTCAGGAAGTATTCCACATTTTCTTGTGTTACAGCCCGAATTTTAAATGGATTAGATTTTTGGGTCACTGGCCTACCAACAATACCTCAAGTGGAATTTTGTTTTTCGAAATGTTTACAAATTAATTGAAAATAAAAAGCTGAAATGTCTTGAGTCAATTAATATTCAACCCCTTTGTTATGGCAAACCTAAATAAGTTCAGGAGTAAACATTTGCTTAACAAGTCACATATATTGCATGCGTCACTCTGCTTTCCAACAGACACTGGGAGACAAATTCACCTTTCAGCAGGACAATAACCTAAAACACAACGCCAAATATACACTGGAGTTGCTTACCAAGCCGACATTGAATGTTCCTGAGTGGCCTAGTTACAGTTTTGACTTAAAATCGGCTAGAAAATCTATGGCAATACTTGAAAATGGCTGTCTAGCAATGATCAACAACCAACTTGACAGAGCTTGAAGAATTTTGAAAATAATAATGTCCAAAGATTCACAACTGTAATCGCTGCCAAAGGTGATTATAACATGTATTGACCCATTTTATTGAATACTTATCTAATCAAGATATATACAGTACCAGTCAAAAGTTTGGACACACCTACTCATTCAAGGGTTTTTCTTTATTTTTACTATTTTCTACAATGTAGAATAATAGTGAAGACATCAAAACTATGAAATAACCCATGTGGAATCATGTAGTAACCAAAAAAGTGTTAAACAAATCAAAATATATTTCATATTTGAGATTCTTCAAATAGCCACCATTTGCCTTGATGACAGCTTTGCACACTCTTGGAATTCTCTCAACCAGCTTCATGAGGTAGTCACCTGGAATGCATTTCAATTAACAGGTGTGCCTTCTTAAAAGTTAATTTGTGGAATTTCTTTCCTTCTTAATGCGTTTGAGCCAAACAGTTGTGTTGTGACAAGGTAGGGGTGGTATACAGAAGATAGCCCTATTTGGTAAAAGACCAAGTCCATATTATGGCAAGAACAGCTCAAATAAGCAAAGAGAAACGACAGTCCATCATTACTTTAAGACATGAAGGTCATATTTTGATTTGTTTAACACTTTTTTGGTTACTACATGATTCCATATGTGTTATTTCATAGTTTTGATGTCTTCACTATTATTATACAATGTAGAAAATAGTAAAAAATAAAGAAAAACCCGAACTTTTGACTGGTAGTGTATATTTATGAAAAATATAACACTAATATATCAACAAATACAATTATACAGAAAATAATACACAAAAACAGAAAAATGTAATCTACAAGGGTTTATGTGTATGTGATGGTGGGAGCTCTTGTTTCTCATATTATGACAGGCCAGGACATAATCTGCAGCAAGATCTACTGTAAAAAAAACGATTTTCTCCTTAACAGGTAGTTCAAGAAATCCTGCATTTCTTTCTTCAAATTTCAGGAGGTAAATACTTCTGTCACGTCCGTTGTGTAAAGGATCGGACCAAGGTGCAGCGTGGTATGCGTACATAGTCGTTTATTTTAATAAACACAGACAAAATAACAAAATCCAACAGAACGTGAAGTTCAAGAGGCTAAACATCAAACAAGCCAAACAGAAACAAGATCCCACAACTAAGGTAGGCAACATGGCTGCCTAAGTATGATCCCCAATCAGAGACAACGACCGACAGCTGCCTCTGATTGGGAACCACACCCGGCCAACATAGAAATATATAAATTAGATTTGACAGTGACAGTACCCCCCCCCCCCCCAAAGGTGCGGACTCCGGCTGCAAAAACCTGACTCATTAGGGGAGGCTCCGGGTGGGCATCTAGCCTCGGTGGCGGCTCCGGCTCCGTCGTGACGTAGGCAGTAAACTCTTCTCCCATCCTGCCTCCCCTTTGCACGCCCGGTCCGGTCTGGACCCCGGCGCGATGCTCCCCCTCTCAGTCCTCCCACAATGCACCAAGCACTGTCTGGTCCCTGGTGTGGGAGCCCTCGACCCAGTAGAGGGGCTGACATCTGGTCCCGGCCAAGCAGTCCTCCCGCGATGCACCAAGTCCTGTCCGGACCCTGGTGTGGGAGTTGCCGACCCTGGAGAGGGGTTGACGTCTGGCTCCGGCTCGGACCCCGGTGGAGCGGATGGCTCCGGCATGGGGGAAGAGTAGATGACCGGACCCGGACTAGGCACCGGTGAAGCGGACTGCCCCGGCTCTGGAGTGGAGCAGATAACCGGAGCTGGCCTAGGCACCGGTAGAGCGGACTGCTCTGGCACTGGAGTGAAGCAGCTGACCGGAGCTGGACTAGGCACCGGTGGAGCGGACTGCTCTGGCACTGGAGTGGAGCAGCTGACCGGAGCTGGACTAGGCACCGGTGGAGCGGACTGCTCTGGCACTGGAGTAAAGCAGCTGACCGGAGCTGGAGACTCTGGACTGCAGACCGTCGCAGGAGGCTCCGGGCCATGGACCATCACTGGAGTCTTCGTGCCATGGATCATCACTGGAGGCTTCGTGCCATGGATCATCACTGGAAGCTTCGTGCCATAGATCATCACTGGAGGCTTCGTGCCATGGATCATCACAGGAGGCTTCGTGCCATGGATCATCACTGGAGGCTTCGTGCCATGGATCATCACTGGAGGCTTCGTGCCATGGATCATCACTGGAGCCCGGCAAGTGCCTGGCGCTGGCACATGACGCACTGGGCTGTGGACACGCACCACTGGTTTGGTGCGAGGAGAAGGCACGGGCCGTACCAGGCTGGGGACACGCACCACTGGTTTGATTCGAGGAGCAGGTACAGGCCGTACCGGACTGGAGACACGCACCACTGGTTTGATGCGAGGAGCAGGCACGGGCCGTACCAGGCTGGGGACACGCACCACTGGTTTGATTCGAGGAGCAGGTACAGGCCGTACCGAACTGGAGACACGCACCACTGGTTTGGTGCGAGGAGCAGGTACGGGGCACACCGGGCTGGAGACACGCACAACTGGTTTGGTGCGAGGAGCAGGCACGGGCCATACCGGTCTGTGAAGGCGCACTGGCGGCACAGTGCGTAAAGCCGGCGCATAGCCTGGTGCCTGCACGGTCACACGCTCCTCAAAGCGAGTGTGGGGAGTTGGCTCTGCTAAACCTGGCTCCGCCAGACTCTGCTCTAAGGACCGAGCTTTCTGCTGCTGGAGGGTTAACTCCTCTCTCAGCTCCTCCTGTTGCCTGGCCAGCTCCTCTCTCCGTTCATCCACTGACTCCTTCTCCCTGTGGGCCTCCTGCAGCGCCTCCTTCTGAAGGGAGAGCTCCTGCTTTGATTGGGACCCACCCTGACCAACTCAACTAGAGATCTCAATGTCAGGGCGTGACAACCTCTGATTAAATCATATTTGGAACACTGGAGTAGTGCTAATGTGATATCTCTATTTAGAATTTAGTAACATTGAAGTTTGTGATTTAATTGAATTTAGTTTTGCCAATAATTAGTTCATGTATTTTGGTTTGAGATGTTCTATTTGTTTGAATTTTGTTATTGATGGTCAAATTGTTGAATTTAGCTGGTGCTTTTAGGCCAACTGCTCAAAGGTTCACTCTCTAATAATAATATAATAATAATAATAATAATATGCCATTTAGCAGACGCTTTTATCCAAAGCGACTTACAGTCATGGGTGCATACATTTTTGTATATGGGTGGTCCCGGGGATCGAACCCACTACCTTGGCGTTACAAGCGCCGTGCTCTACCAGCTGAGCTACAGAGGACCACTAAGTTGCGGTATATGCATAAAAAAGCCTTGTGATGATAACATTCTGGATCACAGTGTGTTACGTCCAGAATTTGGTAGCTCTTTTTTAAAGTTGTGCTAGTGGGAATCTCCCAAGTTCTGCCCTAAAAGCTAGGTTTGGGGCATTTCTCTCATAAAAAAATACTACAGTTTACTATAAGATACTACAGTACTTACATTCTATAGTAAACTGTAGCACACTGTAGAATACTATACTGCACACTGTAGTATCCCTCGATCATGTGTAGTACTTAGTATAGAATGTTGTAGTATACTGCAGAATACTATAGTAAATACTTCAGTATTATCCACACAAAAAACACATTGTAGTAAATGCTATGGTAATGTCTGCAAAAACACTACACTTTTTTAACTATAGTAAATACTACAGTATTTAATTTGCATATACCCTGCCCATTCCCCTCCCACATATTGCAATTTGTGCCACCCATAAGTGAGAAACCTACATGCCAAGTATAGACTATATATTGTGTTCCCTACAGGTTTTAGAAAAGAGCAGAAGCTCTGAACTATCTGTTCAGACTCCATTCCTACCTACCTACAGGTTATGGAAAATGTGCTATTTTTTGTATTTCTCCTGTAAGTTTCCTGAAGGAGAAAGCCTCCACTTCTATGTCAAAGATAATCAAACATAAACACTATAGTAAATAATAAAGTAATGTCTGCAGAAACACTACACTAAATATTACAGTATACTACAGCCGCAAAAACACTACAGTAAATACTACAGTATAGTACAGTCTGTATAAACAGTACATTACTACAGTATATACTACAGTTCTCTTTTACTACAGTAATTATGCTATAGTTAACTGTAAATACTACAGTAAAGTCCGCAAAAACACTACAGTGAATACTGTAGTATTTATACCATAGTATACTATAGTATTCTTTAATGTGGGTTTTGTGCACACCTAGAATATTTTTACAAAATTCCAGGTGTAAGATTTCAGTTGGGCTTTTATCCCATGATGTAT